ATCAGACACATATGGTCAAACAGAGCATTTGATCTGATCTTCCAAGAAAATGCGGGAAAGAGAGTTGACCTAATGAATTCTCTTCCCTGAAATCATTAGATGGAAACATCTCCGTGAAACAAAGTTAAAATCTGCTTGCAGATTGCCATGTTTGGGGTTCATGGCTAGTTGGTTCACTCTTNATCAGACACATATGGTCAAACAGAGCATTTGATCTGATCTTCCAAGAAAATGCGGGAAGGAGAGTTGACCTAATGAATTCTCTTCCCTGAAATCACTAGATGGAAACATCTCCGTGAAACAGAGTTAAAATCTGCTTGCAGATTGCCATGTTTGGGGTTCATGGCTAGTTGGTTCACTCTTCACCAGTGGTAGAAGTTTGAGCCAGCGAACGTCCCCCGTCACGTTAAAAAAATAAATTATTTTGATTTTATTTTCAGGTACTACGTTGAAAATTGTGGGAGCAAGAAGTTTGAAGACTTCTTGAGATCTTTCACTCGTGCGCTGTAAATTGGATCGGTTGAAAGCTTTATTAGGGAATGAGTTTGTCTAACTTGATTCCGGAAACAAATTGTCGGAAGAAACGGATGCTGATATGAGGGATATGTTAACAACGAAATAGAATATTGGAAAAACAATGCGGTGAGACTGAGATTTCTATTTTACATGTTTCGAACGATTTAACATCCTTTAACAGCCACATTATCTGGACATACACAAGTAACTCCTTCTTTAGATGGTAAACACAAATGCTTACATCCACCATTGTTCTCTGAACATGCTGTTGGTGCTGAAAAGGCAGAATTCGAATTGATGTCTGCTTACTGATACTTACGTGCTGTACATGTTTTAGGAATACTGATTATACCGTAGACTTTGCCAGAGCCACCCAAAGAAACTGGGAAACTTGAGTATCCATCTCCATATACACCCACTGTATGGATGCGATTACTGTAATTGATAAGATTGAAAAATTGTTTGAAATTTGCACGGAATCAACTCACTCTCTCCAATCTGTCCAATAGAACCTTTGCTCGTTCTCATGCGTTAACCCGAATGGATACTCTAAGGGAGCATAAACAACTCGGCGATGTTGGCCGTCGAAGCCAATGCATGAGAGTCTGAAAGGGAATGGTTCCTTTTATATTTCAAACGGTTTTCCTGCGGCTCACCTATGACTTCCAGCATCAACCCAGCAAAGTTCACGTCGGTTAGGCAAAACCGTCAAACCATTAGGTAAGTGAACATCCTCATTCAAGAAAATCTGAATCCCAAATATAGTAAAGAAGGATGTGTATTGATTATCTCACTTTATTGTTCTTTCCATCCATATCAACTCTGCCGATCAAAGGATTCTCACGATGCCAGTCCGTGTAATATAATTGTCTGAAAGGATCAGAGATAAACGATGTTACTAGTTGATAATCAAGAATTACTTATTATGCAAATCTAAAGCAACTGAACGAGGGTTAACCAATCCTTCCGTCACTAAGCTCTTCTTATACTTTCCATCTAAAGAAGCTACTCCTATCTCATCGTTCAAGGAATCAGCATAGTAAACGTTTCTGAAACAGATAGTATGATCAGCGCTTTGGTATTTTCAAAGTTACCTGCTTGCCCAATCTACCGCAATACCTTCTGGACTGTTCAAATCAGCAGAAAGGAAAGCTGACTGATCAGATCCGTTCAACGATGCAGACCGTATTTGATGTCCGGAAATATCACTCCAGACCAGCCGCTCAGCTTCGCAATCAAAATCCAAACCAACGGCAATGTGATGAGGAATTACAATGATCTTCAAGGATTATGATAATGAGAGAACTTAAAATAAAGATTACTTGTTTTCCTGGAACATCAGCCATTGTTCCTCTCTGGAATATGGCCATTCCTCTAGCAATGAAGAGAGAATCCCCTCGGTCTTCAGAATCGGCTGAAAAAACGATTTTCAAATCATGCTTGACTATAACTGGTTTTCTCACGTTTACAGGTTCTTCCATTACCATGGAAACCATATAGACAATTACAAACGTAATGACCTCCCTCTCCAGGTACACATTCGGCATGCTCATCGCAAATAGAACGATCATCCAAACATGAAGCTATAAATGGAGATAGTATAGAATTTTGAAATGATCGGGTTAATCCTACTTCTCAAAGCACAGATATGGCCGTTTCCTTCATAGCCAGCATTACATTTACATTGATAACCACCAGAAACAGAATTATGTGAACAATGACCATGCATAGAGCAATTAGAGCATCTAGGAGTGTCTATAACGATCACAATGAGAGGACAACGGATGAATGCATGAAATACCTTGAACAGTGCAATGATTATACCCGTCTCCAATCGATCCTGGTTTGCAGATACAAACATAAGAGCTTTGATCCTTATTTAAAACACATTGTGCATTAGCATGGCACATGCGAGGGTTCTCAATACATGTAGATGGACGTGCATATGGTAGACAAGTTACTCCATCTCCAGTAAAACCTCGAATCAACAACATTTGGGGAGTTATGACAACATGTCTTACCTGTTACACATTTGCATACATAAGCGCTTTCGGTAGTACCATAAACGCATTCAGCGTTTTGATGACAAGCAGATGGATCAGCGGGATTACACATATCTTCAAGAAATAGAGTAGTGGGAAAATGGAAAGGTCTAGCACATACCAGCGATTTGACACTTGTTGACTCCATCCCCGCGATATCCGGGTAAACATTCACATATGTAATCGTTCTCATTAATAGATGCTACACAATGTCCGTTCTGATGACATTCAGTTGATTCTCGGCAGCGCATTGGACGAGCTGAAAAAGCTGCTGTCAAACTTTGTACTTACTTCATTCTTACCTGGAGTACCTCCTTCCCAGTTAGGAGTTCCACTGTGAATCTTGACGCATGATAATCCATCTCCAACATATCCTTCATGGCATTCGCAGCGATATTTCCTAAACGTCAACTTTGCGAAGCAACCTCATCAAAGAACATACTGATTATGAGAATCAAAAGTGCATTGAGCGTTTTGATGGCAATTTCTCAAACGATCGCATCCGGGCTGTTCAACTGCAAACAATTATTTCCTGAGTGATGAAATTGAATCATAAATATACGTGGAGGCAGAGCATTTCCCATTTCTGTTTTGGAGCAATACTTTCCATCTCCAGAATAGCCAGATTGGCATACACATTTGTAATTTCCTCCCAAAACAGTTCTCTCGAAAATACAATCTGCATAAGTATCACAGTCTCTTGTAACATCGCAACCGGCGGAAGCTGCAAATATGTTTCTGAGTCTAATGAGTCTGAAGTAGAATGTAACATACGATTATTCAGAGGAATGTCAATCTCAGAGCCTGATGATGGCAAATGGCATTCTACTCCATTTCCTATGTAAGGTTCGGCACACACACATTGATAATAGCCAAGTTGATGATTATAAGCACATCTTCCTTGATCATGGCATTCTTCGTGTGAGCGACAAACAGAGCCTGTTAATTGAACTATTTTTTGTATAAAACCTGGTAAGACATACCTATCGTTTCTTCATCCGTTTCTTGAGCAGAAGATGAATTATCGTCAATCAAAGACTCACAGTTGATTCCGTTACCAACGTATCCTACGTTACAAACACATTCCGACTGAAAAAGAAACCAGTTCGGTAAGCTATACTTCATTATGACAAACCCCTCCACTAGTGGCAGGCATGCATTCAGCGTTCTGATCACAGATGTTCCTTCCACAAGCTTTTCCAGATTTCATGGGAATATTAGCATTATGTCTGGGCTGAGAGTTTTCTATAACAAATTCTGTATAGTTGTTAACGTTTTATGCAAAGTACCTTCTGGAGGACCACAATGATTGACTCCGTCACCAACATACCAGCCTCTGCATTTACAGATTCCGGAAGGATTACCGGGAGTGAAGGAACATTCTCCAAACTGATGACACTGACGATGATTGGTACAAATGCCGCCAGCTCCCTGAAGAATGTACTTATGATGAGACGATTTAATTTTGATATTACCGCTCCTGACGAAGCTTCAACATGATGATGGCGAGGTTGGGCTGGATGGCTTTCAACTTCTCCTATTCCTGAAAATAATAATTTTCAGTTCTAACAGATAACTAAGCGATACTAGAGCATGTGCGACCGTCTCCAGTGTATCCTTCTTGGCAACTACAGCTATAGCCACCGGGACTGTTGGTGCAATCAGCAAAGTGACCACAAACTTGCTGTTGATTACATTCATCTATGTCTAAGAAAAAAAATGTATACTTATCATTTTAAGATTCTATTACATACCTTCGCATCCCCATCCTATAGGAGATGCTGTGTCAGCTTTAGCTTGGAAGCCTTCCTCACAAACACAACGATATGTCTGCTCCCATGGAATACATCTCATATGAGGACTAGTGCACACATGAGCACCATGAGCACAAACTCCCTAGAGTAGCATGAATGAATTGAAGCTTCAAATAATAGACAGACTTCACTGATTTGAACAGGGCGAGAAGCCGGACGAACGGTTTGACCATGCTGTCTTCTATCGAAATGAGCAGAGCTGGATGGCACTTCAGCTGTACGAACGTTCAACCCAACATGATTGCGAGAAGCATAACTTAAAAAAAGAAAATTATTTTACGCTCTCTCGATGTTAACGCTACCGTACGATTCCTTCGTTAGCATCATAGGTCACATGGACTCTCTTAACAGACAACTTAACTGTCTGAGGCTTGTCGAACTGTTAAAAATGAAATATAATACTTAACGGTAATGTTCGATTCTTACCGACTTGAAGGGACATTCCTTGAAATTGATTTGTTGGTCAATAGTCAATCTCATGTTGCTTTCTTGTCCATTATCCCTTATGAGAACATCCATTGAAGTATAGGATCGGATGAAACCTTAACGAAAATATAAAACTTCAAACTTCAAATGGGAAACAAGTACCATTTCCTTCTTTTCTGTACTCTTCTTCGTAGTCTGGATAGACTACTTCAGCATCAGGAGATATGTCGGGTAGAGTTCCCGATACAAACACCTTCGAAGAACACTCTTATTCAATCACACATAGGCTCACATACATTTGCTTTCAAATAATGGTAGATATCTCTTCCTGAGAATTCTTGTTTGATCGTTACATAGTAGCGATCTCCGATATGGAGGGTTACGGTACGGTTGAAGAGTCCACCAGTAAGCATGAATCCATTGTATGCTTCAGTAGATTGAACCTAAATGGCATTTCTATTCTACACATCCTCTTCGGATGAAAACCTCAGCAAACAGCCAACCCATAACAGATCCAACAGGCAATAACAGGAGCATAGGACTGGCCAGGTCAGATGGGATCTAAAAGATTTTTGTTTTTCAGATTCCTCATGAGTATCATCTAACCTTTGATACAGCGGTGAAAGCATGTCCATCTGTTGGTGTGATGAAAGTGTGTAAATCGGTTTTCTCCACAGCTTTGCCATTTAAGACGGCTTCGAAAAACCCAGATATACGTTGAGGATCTCCCTTCTTTAAGCATTCTTTGCCATTTCCATAGTACCCAGGTTGGCAAACACAACAGTAGCCAGGGTTTTGATCACTGGAAAAAGATACACTGATAAGGTAAAATCAAACAAACAGATTTCAATATTCAACCGGTTTCATTCAAGTGACCATTCAAAATGAAATTGGAAATGGAGCACTGCTCGCGCGTTTTCAGAAAGTGGGCGGAGCCTATTTGCCAAGACCTCGAAGGTGAGGTCCCTTATTTTTCTTTATCTTACCGACATTCCCCGAATTGATGGCATGCTGTTTCACCGGCAGCATCACAAGAGCTTGGAAACTCTTCGCTCTCATCTCCTCTGTTCGAGTCTGAAAAATGTGAAAGGTTTTGATGGATTTTAAACGGATTTGATACTTCGTGCAGGTTCCAATGGAACAGATTGTCGAATCTCCTCAGTTATCTCATCGGTCTCTTCTCCTGACTCGGGCTCTGATAAGATTTAAAATGAAAAATGATCATAAAAAATGGAAAATGTCTAACCAGCACAGATACATCTAGTACAACCACGGTCATCAACTAGATTATTACAACGTTCTGGACATTTTTCAGAATAAGAATCAATTGGACAATCCTCTGCTGGAGAAGAAAAGAAATAAGAATGATTGAAGTTTTAATAGAGCTTACGTGGTGGCTTTCTTTGTTCTCCATCATAGTCTTGATCATAAGTTCCATAATCATACTCCTCAGCATTCTCTTTTGGATCTTCGAAAGCTGATCCAGAAATACGGAAAATGAAGTAGGTGCCATCACTGTGGTTGGATAAGCTGAAACAATGATGAGATTATAAATTCGTAAAATGAGTAATGAGTTAATACTTCTCAATCCGTTTCACATCTGGTCCACCACTGTTCACTAGAGCATGGAAGGTCTCAGGACCTGTAAATCCAGCCTGAGCATAGATGCCGGCTGAAGATGACCAAGGTAAGTTCTTATACATAAGAATAGAATATGAAACAATTCCATCAGATGCTATTGCCAACTGAAAAGCCTGTCTAAGCAAGTTTAGATGGTTTCCTTCAAACCTGGAAGGTTGCATGACCATCATTTTCTTTGTTTATCACTTCGTCCCAGGTGATTATAATTGCTTGAAGAGTTTGGAATTCTGATCCGTCAGCAAATTGGCTTCTAACATATTCAGACAGTTTCTTCAGAAGATTCTGATCGGAAGTGGTCGATCTAACAATGAAAATGAGATTTTTGAAAAAACTTTGAAAGATAAGTACCTGTAGTAAACAACTGAATCTTCTATGGGAGCATAGTATACAGCAATGGAACTTCTATTCAAGCGTTGTAGAGGTGTGATAGTGTCTTAAGAGACAAGGGGCAATGAGTAAGACGTACAAAGTAGATGATCAAAACCTGGTATTTTCTCTCCGAATGAAACGATTCCAGTGGAACTGATAAACAACTCATCTTGAGGGTTTTCTAGAAAAACTACAGGAATCTCTAAAGATACAGCATGCTGTTGATCCGAATAGGGAATAAGCTGAAATGGCAGAGTAGGAGTAAGCGAGAGGGAGAATGATGGCATACCTGATCTCCAGCGGTTTGTCCATAATCAAACAATGGAGCTTGTGCAGATATTAAAGGAATTATAAGTGAGAGGAGTAGTATGAGCCGCATGGCCTAAAATAATATGAAAGACTATTCTCGAGAGAAAAAAAAATGAGGAAAGCAAGCGATAAGAGGCGAACGAAATGACAGAAGAAGAAGAAAAAAATGGCAGTTGACCCATTGGTATAAACGACGCCATTTGATACTAACATAAATTTGATAAGAAAAATAAGAGAATGATAACGTATGTGTATGTATTAGATGGATTTTTTGAAAAAAAAAGGAGACGAAGGAGGAGAAGGAGGAAGGAAGGAGAAGAGATGGATTGATATGTTATAAGATAGAGCCTTATAGGGGAAATGTGAAAGGAGAGGTCAAGATGATTCATTTGAATAATAATTTTCTATGAATAGGCTCAAGAAGGGTCACAGATAAGTTCTTTCTGACCATATTGTATAGGATCACAAAAAATTAGAATGAGAAGAATGAGAGTGTGGGCAGTAGTGGTAGGGTGACCTCTCTGTGCTCATACGTCTTATCATTTGGAAAAAAAATAAAATAAATAAATGATATGAAAGAAATAATGATGTACTTCTGGTGGTAATGTGAGAAGTGCGTCTGGTCGGCAGAGAAGGCCAAAAAACAAATCTCAAAAGTAATGGATACTTATCTTTAATGATCTATCCAACAACAGACGTACAAAATCAAAAACGCTTAATGAACAGGTGACATTTACAATACTAAATGAGACCGACGTCTCACAATACTCATTCAAACATATAATGACAGTTGATGAAACTTCTTTCAGACTATCTAACGACTCCTTTACTATGGATGACCCATTAGACCATCCCACCCCCTACTCTTATTCATATCCATATGTGAAATGTGAAACATGTAACAACCTCCCAAAAATCAATTTCATTAACCATCCTGCCCACATATGGGAATGCATAGGTTACACCTGTATAGACGATATGAGACTTATCCAAACAGAGTGACACTAATGATTGTTTCTTTTAATTACTCGGAAACATCAAAGTCGTAATCGCCTGTCTCTCCTATCAAACTACATTTGGTTGAACTCCAAAGGCTCACCTGTGTATTACGATTAGGTTCTCCCTTGAGGATCTGTTGGGTAGTAAAGACAGGAGAACCCTCTAAACGCTCTTTGCCTGTTATTCGTTTTTCATATTTAGCACAGATCGTGAGTCTACCAGGAGCTATGTATCACATCAGACAACCCCCAACCTTAACCTCTTGCGAGCATAAAGAGCTGCTGACAGCTAAACCAAAATAGGACTACGATATATCTGTTATGCGTTTAATGAATTGTTCCTGTGAAGCTACTTGTGTGTGTGCTGTTCGATCAGATAGATAGAGATGGTTCTGGATACTCACATAGATTGAGTTAGCTTCAGATAGGGAAAAACCCATTCAACATAATGCACCTAAGGGCTCTATATGTTGTTCTTCTTACTCTTAGACATAGGCTGACGTCCGTGAGTGTTGGACAATCTCTTAGTTAACTTCCTTTCTTTGACTCTTCAGTATGAGAGAAGAGGTAGGGGCGTAATGGGATAAACAAAAGAAATTCATATGCGAGGAAACATATAGTAAAGCGAAAGGTAGTTAACTACCACACCTTCCTGTTTGAGAGAAGACAGCTCGTTGAGGAAAGCTCATTGAATATATAATAGTAGGTGAAAGCAGCGGATGATTAAAGCCTTCTCTCAAGTTCTCTACATGACCATCGAAAGGAAGAAAGTAGCAGTATGCATGGCATATGAAACACAATCCTCTACTTTCCTTTTCAGGATTTTTCAACCAAAACTCTTCTCTACATACTATTAGCTGTGATAATCTGATTTGACTCATCCAAGCTACCCCACAGAGCATCCAGAATGATTCAGAATGTTGCTGACGGCGTCGCAAACATGTTGGTCGGTCTGTTTTCTCTTTCATTTTTTATGTTCTTTATAATTTTTATTTTTTATATCTTTCTCTTCTCTCCTCCTCTCTCTCTCTCTGTCTATGTCTTCGTCCCTGTCTCTCTCTCTCTCTTGTTTTCATTCTATTCATATAGTCAATGCTCGAAGAAAGTTCTTTAAGAGCAAAGCATTTCCGGTTGAGAAGTTGACTTATAAGGAAAATCGATGGCAGGCCAACTACCTTGCTGTCGTTTAATTTTTTTTTTACTTTTATGACTATAAATCAAAATATTCAAATTACAGCATAAGTTATGTCAAAACAATTAAAAGATTTAGCGGAAAAGGTTCGTGGATGGCGAGCAGTTCAGAAGGCTCTACCTCGCATCATCGAATATGGGAAGAGCGAAGGAATTCTCCAGACACACACGGTTCGTTCACATCTCATTGACCGGCAATGCATACGCTCTCCTTCACTTGTAGACAGGAAATGCTTTCAACATTACTGGTATTGTCTTGGCAGCTCAAGAAGAGGCACATACACAGAAAGAAGTTCGAAGTGGTGATAAGGTGAATCTCTCTTTCCATCTTACATAGCTATGATCTTCACAACCAATTTGATCTTGAAAACTCATATGTACACAGGTGAATCTTCCAACAAACGATTTGACGATGATGCATGAAGCTATCCCCTTCTTACCCGTTCCTGTAGCTCTACTATGCCTATTCCTGAACATCGTCATTCCTGGAACTGGTATGTTTTCAATAAAAATAAATTTTCACCATGAAATAGAGCATAAATAATATAATTAAATGAACGATATCTCACGTTGCTCTCTGTCATAAAGTATTTATAGAAATGAAGGAAGCGGAAAAACTATTTTTAATATTATTTTGTAGGAACGATTCTCTCAGGGTTGGCAGCACTCTGTATGGGACAGCCACGGGTAAACATGAAAGAGGGACGTAAATTGGTAACATTGATAGGTATAACATCCTCAATGACATCATTTAACTATACCATATGGCTTATAGTGAATCTACTCGTTGGCATCAGTCAGTTCTTTACTATTACATTCTTGTTCGTTGGATGGTTCTGGTCAATAGCCTGGGGCGGTCTGCTGATTATTCATTCGAGTAAGTGATCTATTTGGTTTATTAACCTAATAAGGTTGTTTCTCTATAGTGCAATACCGAGAAGCCTTACAACAACGTCGACAAGAAGCTGTTGCAACAGCAGCCATTGAAGCTTTGACGAAAGACTCCATTCTCCACAGACGAGATGTTAAGACGCTCGTTAAGACACATAAACAGCAAACAAAAGAAAAAACAAAAGAAAAAGTTTGAAAGTTTCATTGCCTTATATGGTTCAGTTGGACTTGGTCTTTCCCTTTCACTCCCCTCTCACCCTTTCTTTATTGTATTTTCTCGTTTATTAAATGAACTTTCTTCCTTAAATGTCATTTGAATCGTATATGCCCTGAGGCATTTCGTCTTCAATAAGGACTTTCAGACGAGACTGTTTCCGCCTCGGACGAACCGCAAACTCCTTCTCCGCTCCTTCTATACTCCTTAGTTGACACCGAAAAAACATTTTTTTTCGCAAAAATCTCAAATATGCCAAGTAAGTTTGATTATTTCTATTCCATCATCGTCTCCTCTTCAACGAATCACATGACGTCATCGATAACACTCGTTTTGTCCCAAAAAAAGATTTACGGGAGGATTCATGTTGACTGGAAAGAATATCCTTATATGGCTCTGTTTAGTGGGCGTGATTTCATTATTTCATCTCACCATAGGGTCCTTTTTCGTTCTTCCTCAATCCCTCTCTCTCTCTTCGAAGATATTCTCTCCTTGAAGCATCTTCTACTTCTCTCACACTCTTCCCCTCTCTCCAGTCTCCTCTTGATTATTCTCCCTATTTTATTTTATTTTTCTCTCACACCCTCCAATTTTTGATTTTGACCAATTTGTTTTCGTCTCAAACCCCCAGCATCTTGTGTGTGTGTGTGTGTGTTGTGTGAAAGAGACCTTCGACAGACCAAGAGGTCGCGGCTCTTCCTTTTTTCCTCAAAAAATATGTTTTTTCTCGTTCATTTTCATAATTTACTTTGGAAAAAAGAAAAAAGAAGAAAACTTGATGCACGCTGGTTGCTGACGGCTGCTTCTGCTGCTTCTGCTTGTGTGTGTGTGTGTGCTGACGAACGAATAGAGTTGGTTTGATTGTAAAGCATATTTTCATATAAATATTTATATCACCTACGAGAAGTCTCTGGGGTAATGTTCTTTGAGTTTTTATAAAACTTCATCAGGAGGAGTGAAGAGCAAAGCAAGATAAGCTTGTGCCTTCCTCCCCCACAAGCTAACACGTGCCTATTACTAAATATAGAATACGAGTTTCTAAAAAAAAAACTTGAAGCACACGTACAAACATGTGTATAACCGCCGCACCAACTTGACCCCTAACCCTCTCTCATCCCATTTGTCTAAGTTTAATGAAAAGCTTGAACTTTGAAGCTTCATGCGTATGTTGTCAATTTCCATGTTAGAGAGAGAGCAGCAGATGACAAATGATTTTTATAGAGCTGGTCGTCTTCGTTTTTTTCTTTTCAAAAACCTTTTCTTCTTTCCTTTCCTCTTACAATCCAGTTGTCAGCTGAACGAATTTGGAAAAAAACTTTTTCTTTTTTTGACATTTCTCACATTTTTCTTCGAATTCGAATGAAACTGAGTTGCTTCAAGCTTCAACCACAACTTCTAATGTTCGTGGCAGTCGAAGCTTATTCGAGTGAATTGATCATACACTTCCTCTTAGTTTGTCTCACGATTTGCCATAAAAAGTTGAAATTCTGATGTTTTTAATGATAAATGCCTCAGAAGGCACTTCTCTCCCCCTCACGCCAACGATGAGATGACGCCAGATCTGATGATGAGGAGAGAAAAAAAAAATTTTTTTTTTATTTTGTCAGGCAAATCAATGAGAGTTCGTCTTTTGATTTACTTTTTGTCCTCAAATATCATTTTGTATGTTTTCTGCTTAAGCATAGCCATGTTTGAGAAGAAGAAGACGAAGGCTCAGACAAGCACATGTTCCTCGTCCTTCAAACCATTTTTGATTCTTCTTAACTAAATTTTTCTTTTTTTCTTTTGTTTTATTGAAATGCTGTGGATCTAATGAGTTGTCAACTGAATATCCGTCTTGAAAGACTTTGAAATGAAAAGACTAAGCAGATGAGAAGAGAGAGAAGTTGATGCTTTTGGCATAGTAAGCGAGTAGAGTTGCTCTAAAGAATAAGAGAAAGGAGAAACATCTTCTACTCCATCCGTTTATCCAACAACTTTTGTCGATGATTTGTCTCCAGGGAGTTCCAACCGAAATTTCTTTCAAAATATGGATTCTCAGGCATGAATAGCACTATAATCAGTATCCTGTCTGTCTGTCTCTCTCTCTCTCTCTCTCTTCTTCTAAGAGAGCAGGAGCTTTTCCCTTACTTCATTCTGTCCTGTTTATGACACTTTTCTTTTCTTTACAGATGCCACCAAACTCATCTACTTCTTTCCTTCTCCCTCTATCTCTCTCTATCTCATTGGAAGAGCATGACTTGCGTTGAAGACGAACAAGATGTGTCCATCTCTCATATCCTTTTTTATTGAAAAACATATTTTCTTTTGAAATTTCATGCAAAAGCCACAAAAAGCAAATTGGTCCTCCGATGAAGTTCTGAAAGCGCCAAGGGGCTTATCACGTGGACATCATCGTACATATCCGCACTTTTCCTTCCTTCATTGTCATATTTCCATTTCCTTATGACTCTCTCTATGTTCAAGTTTAATGGATAAGTCCTTTCCTCCGTCTTTTTTTAGTTTCCCTCATTATTTTGAAATGAAACACAAAACGGAACAACACCATATATGAATTTTCAGTCAAAATGATGACAGCAGCGCGTTCTTCAGCTTTTCATTATAAGAAGCGAACATCCAATTCAAAGAGTTCAAAAGTAATAATAATATTATATTTATTCAACTTTCTATTGAAAAGCTTAGGTAAAGGGCAAAAGTAGCAAAGATCATGCTGTATCTCCCTCTCCGTCCAAGTGCACCGTTAAGACTCAAGTCGTATGTGGCAAACTCGTTTGATTGCCAACAAAATTATTTTTTCGCCTTTCAGTCAGGCAACTCACTTACAGTTCCCAATGGTGGTGTTCCTCGTAAGCGAAGTGGAAGTGTTCCTTCTCTCAAAGTTAATACATTGGTAAATATTTCATTCAAATTCATTCAACCCATCTTGATGATAACAACTGAAGCTTTAGGCTAATGTTTGGAATCTGAAACATGAGCATATTCGAGCTTTGAAAATGACTTGGCAGCGTCTATGTGAACCTCCGGGCAGTCAGTGCCATGACATTACCAAACTTGTCACAAAAGTTTTCGATAAACTCGACACGGTCATATTCTGATCAAAAAACGTTCAATTATTCCTTCATTTTCAGAAAGACAATACAATCAAGTCAATGTTCTACAAGTCGGCGTTTGTTGATTCCATGCAAGAGCGATGTGAGAAAAGGTAATTTCCATCTCTCTCTATCTCTCTCTCTCTCTCTCGTGCTCTCTCTCATGTTGTATAAAACAAAGAACATCTGAAAATCATTGAAACAAACGTTACTACTTCATTAGAGTGTATATATACTTACCTGATTGAATGCAACCGCTCTGTGCGTCTGAGAAATAACAAATGACGTGGCGTTACTGATTATTTGCATATTCACGCAATTAGCATATTTCAGAGTTTCAAAGTCAAAAACAGCTACCGTTCATGATCATGTTCATTTCTTAGTATCGTTGATATCTCAAGTGATACAGAATCTTCAATCAGATCCTCAGGAAATGTTTGAACATCTAGATATGATCGGTACCTATCAAGCATAATCCACTTCTAAGAAGATATTTTTAAGGAAGAAAACATTTGGCTTATCGTCAGTATGGTTTCCAATCTGCTCATTGGGAGAAAGTTGGCCAATATTTTGTTGATATCGTCGTTATTCAGGTATGTAATTGAGAGAGACACATGAAAATCAAGATGTGAAAATTGAAACGGGAAACCCGCATGACATACGGTGCAAATAGCGACCGCGATATAAGAATAGCAGCATTGGGTGTTGAATCACGACCAATGATGATCTTCAAATCCAAATGTTAGATTGAAACACTGTGACATGAATTACGAAGCTGAGGCATGGAATCAAATTCTTTAGAGATTTAAAGTATATGTTTACAAAAGAGTAGAATGAACGGAAGGAGATTAGAGTTCTGTTTGGAAAAGACTTGGATGTGAAGTATTCCCACACACTTTATAGCCTATTAGAGCAATTAACTAAAAAAAAAGATTATTATTTTGAAAGTGCACGTGTAGCTGAGTTGTGTAATGGTTTACGATGTTGAAAGGTCTGTTAGAACGTTATAAACAGAATGACAGTAATGGTTGAGTGTGTGATGTTTGACGCCGAACGTTCGGGTGATTCCATGTGACGTGTAAAAACCATAAGAGTCTTTGGTTTTTTTGTTGAAGCTTAAGAGTTTATCTTTCTTAAGTGAATTATATACAAATTAGGAAGAGGATGAGAGAGAGAGAGACTGTCACAGAGAGAGAGAGAGATAGAGATAGATGAGAAGATTAGAATTGTTTAAACGTAAGATGCACCTGATTTTTACAATTTTGATCTTGTTTTTCAAAAATTCTCCGAGATCTTATATGTTTGTACGGCTTGCAGGATTGTGTACGTGGGTTCCCAGAAGCATGTCGTGCTTGGACAATCATGATAGCAGCCATGATAGATCGCCTACGAGCTGCTCCACGTCGAGGCTCAACAACTTCAAGTACAAACAATCTATACAACATACAAGAAAACGGATTAAGGTTGTTGAATGAGAAAACTTATTTTCAGATATAATATTTCTCTCTTCATTACAGAAGAGGTAGTGCAACATCCTTATTTGGCAGAGGAAGCCAATCGAGTTTAAGCAGTTGCGGTAGTCATGTGAGGTTTGAGCGTCAACAACTTTTAAATTATATAATTAAACTTTTTCATTTCTATAGAGTCTCCTGTCATCATGCTTCCACATCGGACTTGTTGCGAAGTGAGGAAAAGGAAAAAGAATCTTTTCGAACTCATGTATGCTCTCTTATACAAACCATTCAATTATAATAAGAAAAATGTTCTTTAGTGCCCCAGATCTGGTCCATCCACTAGTTGCATTGATTTGACGCCTTTAGGAGCAAATTTACCTGATGTACGGACGAGTCATCCAGCACGAGCTTAGACTGAAAGCTCATATGACGTCATCTGACGTCACTGAGTCGTCTTAATCTGCATAACGGTCTCTTTTTGGCAATTTTTTCATCTCCTTGTTCACTCTCTCTCTCTCTATCTCTATCTCTCTCTATCTCTCTCTCTCTCTGTCATCTATGTGTATCTCTCCCTTGTCTGTCAAACACATAAATCTGTTTGTTCTTTGATGAAAAAGTTTTTTCTTCTTTGAAGAATAATTACCTCACAAAGTTTGTTATAAAGAGAAATAAACAGAAGAAGAAGCAAGCATATACAATCCTTGTTTGACTAAAAAAAGAAATTGTAGCAATACAATTTCTTTTTTTCATAAATATTCTTATAAATAATAAATTTTTTTTCTAAAATATCTTTGTACGTCGCTTGTGTGTGTCTGTGTGTCTGTTGATATCGTTTTCCAGCTTAAGCATATCTCATCTTTGGCAGTATGCTCAGATAGTCAACCGTCATTACTCTCATAGAAATCCTTCCATTCCCATACTTACGAGGGTCAACGACTCCATTTAAGCTCAAAAATGAAACTAAGCTTCAAATCCCTTTCATCCGTTACTTCAGACCATTGAGACATTGAGTTGAGCTTTTCGTCCTACTAAAGCCAATGTCATCATCGTCGACGTGCTCGTAGAAGAGTTTCGGATTCTATCTCATCGTCATACTTCCGAACAAACATTTACCTTATAAAAGCAGCAGCGGGTACTTCCCAATCGTCCACCAGATCAACTCCTAACTCACAAAATGAAAAAACATCTCCAAGATTCATCTCCTCTCTCTTTCTCTCAACCTCTCTCTTACTCATTGTATCTCACTAATGAGTTCGGTAACTCATTACCCCAAATAAAAATTGAAATTTGCATAATTTTCTGTTTTGGTCATCCCAAAAAAGGAATCATTTTTGTTTTTTGGCAGTCCGTTTCCATCTTTCCTGTGTATTGGGCTGATGGTGTATTTCAAAGATTGACGATTTTTCAAAGTTTGTTCACTAATGTCATTGAACCCAATCACACATACTCCCAATTTCCCAAAACTCGTCTCATCTGAAGGCTTTAAAACAGATTCTGACATTCTAAATTGAAAGACGTCAACTACAACGTTAGTCGGTGAGATTTGCTTAGAGTAAGAATAGGAGTGTAGAGCTATGAGAATGCGACTGATAACTAAAATCGTCTTCTCAATCTATTATGCGTAACTTATTAATAATAAACTATTTTTATATTATGTCATCACTCTCATCATGAGCGTCCACGTCAAAAAAGGTATGGATGCATATAGGTTATCTGCATATACTTTATATGGATATGATATGCACAAGATTATGTTCAGACGTCCGGCTGTACCTTCTTCTTTACCTTTCCATTTACACCCACTTATTCATTCGACTTCCATTCCTTTTATCTCATCTTCTATAGCTTTGTCTACTCTTAATGGCAGTGAGGGTGGGCTTGACACATAGCGAAAGTCACGCTTCGTCTTGCTCTCCTGAATGCTATTACTGACGACGTAATAGAAACAAGGAAGCATAACTTCACTAAACCCCCTCAGCTTATGATGATGACCGAAAATAAAAAAAATTTGCACGACATCATATTCTCTATTCATGTCACTTCAGAATGTCAGAAGCCGAATGATATTTTTGAATTTTAGGAAAGTTTGTTGATTTGCTCATGCCAGAAAGAGATATGAAGATGGTAAGTGTGGAGAAGTGGAAATTGAAGTGGAGAAGTGATGACGACAAAAAAACGAATGTGAATGAAGAGGAAGAAGTTCCCTAGCAATCTCAGCATCATCACCGTGTTTTGTCATGACAGAAGACTTTTTTACTTTTTGTCATCTTCAAGACCACTTCATTCATCGTTGGCAGTTTGAGCAGCTTTCAGCCCATTATTTGTCCGCTTGTCTTCCACAGTTCTCCGAAATCCCATAAATGGCAAACGAAAAGTTTGTTTATTTTCCAAAAGCCGTATTTGAAAGGATAAAAGAAGTTCTTCGTCATGACAACTCACTGCCGTCGTTCAAGAGAGATAAGAGGACTAAGAAGTAGAAGATGACAGTCTTCTACTAATGCTTGTCTCTGTGTGTATGTGTATGTGTGTATGACTAAGATCTGAAAGCTGAAAGTGTTACGAGGAGTTTAGATGACATGCAACCACCTCTATAAATCTCTTTTTTCATCTCCTTTCCTCCTCTCTCAATCATCTCTATGATCGTCACTCGTTTGTGAACGACCTTCCATACATAGAAATATGATATTTTACCAAATATCATAGGATCTTTGAGCTTGTATGTACTATCTGCCACCTTTTAAGCATTCAAACGACTTCCTCCAAATAGCTTAAACTTACAGATAGACTAACGAAGAACAATCGTAGAAGTCAAAACATGCACAATTGGCTGGAGCAAATGCTAATATGGTCATGTATTATCCAATTAGAATAGAAAAAACCAACCAAAACAGTTAATTTCTTGTGTATCTCAGTGAGTGAGTGTGGATGTGTTTCTTCACAACAACACACTCTTTCATCTCTAATCTTCAATTTTCTTCAGTCCTGGACAGATGGATGAAGCTCAAGTGATGGAAGCTGATAAACTTCCGTCTCTGATATCACTCCTTTAGCTATTTTAGGAATTTATTCTATTTAATTTACATTTTTCATTCTCTCTCTCATCTGAACAGTGGTGGACGACTCTCGCATAGCAAACATCACCTTTATCCCATTTTATAAGTTGTCATTGATGATCTATCATAGAGAACTCACGTGAAGCGGCTGTTCTGCTTCATTACATCCCATAAATGGACAAGATGATTTATTATAATTTATTAAACAAAACGTTTGTATGGATGACTTATTTGGCCTTTAGACCATCTCATATATCCTCCCCCTAGCACTTACTTATACCAAAATATCTATATAAACTTCATGTTTTGGCAATTCGTACAACTTGCATATCGGCTTCAATCCTTCTACCACTCCTCTCCTTCCTCACCATCACCAGCCCACCACCACCATCTTTCATTGACTTTCAATTTCTTTTTTTTTCTCATTTTTTGTGTGTCTTTTTTCAACCTATGTTGTCCATCTCTTTTTTTTCTTTTCGTCTTCTTCTTCTGTTTCTCCTCCTACTCCCCCTCATCCACCATTTTTGGGGCGGGATCTACATTGGTTGTATCATATTGGCCCTCAGGACTCAACCTGCTATCTCCACTCTCTGTCAGCCTTTCCTTCGTTTTTCATCGTTTCTTTTCCAAATTTTTTTCTCTTCTTTATCGTTTCGGCTATGTGAATTATGTCAGAAGTCCAGCCTCTCTTGCTTTCGGTGTTTCGACAAGCTTGTCGTCATCGAGTAAGGCAAGCGGTTGCTGAGCTTGACTTCCAGCTGTTCCCCCTTTTCATTAATATTTCTTTTATTTAATTTGATCGTATAGCTATTCTTATTCTGTTCAAATATCAATCACATATTTTCTCCAGAATCGCTCACAACATGCGTTCATCCACCTCAATCATTCTGATCTTCGCTATTATCTGCTTTGCTTGTGTATTGAATGTCTCTAGTGCTCCAGTCTCGGATACAGAAGCTTATCGACTGCGTAAGTCTCCAAAATTCATTTCCTATCCTACTAGAACTACTGTATGAAGTTGAAACAGAGAAACATCCATAGATACGTGTGAGGACGCAAATCAGACATGTTGGTCGCAGCAACTCTGATGTTTTACTTTTGATTTCACCAATGCCTTTTAAAACAAAATTAGATTTCCGTGTTTTTGGCCAAACGTTCCAAGTTTCTTAAATAGCCTCAGAAACAGTGGAATGATTTGTGATTTGGAGTTTTAACTTGCACCCACCACACAACCACACCACATACACACACATCCGCATCATGAGACAAACACATTGAGAATGATATGGAGAGCTTGATTGCTATCGTGTTCGAAACTTGAAAGATGAAAGTTAACCTGAAAAACTACTTTTGCAGTCAGCTGTTCCTTTATAATTAGCATAAATCATAAAATGATCTTGCATGCGAAAGATATTCCAAGAATATGACTAAGTAGGTGGAATTTCAGTTGATAGTTACCTACAACGACTTTATGAAGATGAAGGCCAAGGAATGATATTGGTTCCCGTACACGGGTGAGTGCATTTACTATGAATTCACTACTAGACACATCATCATCATCATCATCATCATAACATCAGAGCACATGTTTCGATAATGTTATTGAAAATTGTTTTCAGATCAATGAAACGTGGACTCGGCCCTCGACCTCTCCGATTTGGATGATGAAGCTTAAGTAATGATAATGCATTCACTTTCTTCCATAGAAGCATATATACAAACAACCATACAAGAGATATTTTCTTTTTTTTTCTTTTTTTTTTCAAATTTTCATTTTATTTTTTGTAATAAATAGTAAATGTTCATAATCTGCTGTGGTGGTATATATGAAGCTTCGATATGCTCTACTACTGTTTATGGCAAACGATAGAAGATGAAAAATATTTTACATTTGTCTTTTCTCCTCATCCACACACAGACTCTCCATTCTCATTTCAAGATATCTATCTCAACAAGAGAGTTCACACACATACACATAGAGAGAGACACACACACACACAGACCATTCGTTCCTTCAACACTCTTAAAGATATTTCATAAAAAAGACTTTACATATATGATTAACAATATATATATATATATTATTCATCCAACAATACAAGCCATTTCAACGATTAACGCATTTCAAGTAGCCCTCTCTCCCTTTCCCTCTCTCTCTCTCTCTCCCTCTCTATCTAAACCTCGAATGTCTTTTCCTTCAACCCCCCCCCCCATATGACATCATAAGCGAATCATTGAGTAATTAGCTTTAAATCTGCTTTACATGCTACTCTCACCTTCATCACACATCACACCGTTCACTATGACATATCTCATTCCACTTATCTCAATACTACATGTCTTTTACATCCACAGGCTTAAGCTTTCAACATGAATGATCAGTTTCAAAGATAACTTCATCGCACAAGGACTTTACGATAATGAAATTTATCAGTGAAAAACACTCCAAGGAAGCAGTGCCGTTGTCACATACATCAATCTCTCTCTCTATCGCTCTCTTTCTTACTTTGGGCATTCATTCCTACGACTTCACATACCACTACTATACAACCCCTGGTTTCTCTGTATCTGAACACAAGTTTCGAATCATTCTTGGATAAACGTGATTAGCATATGAATATGCATGGATGTGATATCAGTGAGAGTAAGAGACTGCTGATCTTCATCGAGAACTACAATCCCATAGCAGAAGAGGAATAAGATACCTCATCGAGACTCACTGAATTCCTGAAAAATGTACAATTTGATAAATATGAAATTGATTTATAGAGACTTGTAAGTAAAGGATTCTCAAGTAATTAGGTTTCTGACAAAACAAAATAATTTTTAACTTACAGGTACAGAGCGACTCACTCATTGAATACACAGTGTGAGTACATCCTTCTCCTGAGAGTTCAGTACAAAGTTACAAATCCTAAATGAAATGTTAAGAGTGATTACTGAAATTGAAAGAACTAACTCTGGCTTCTTCTGAAAGTCTTTTTGCAAAGGCAATAATAATATTTTGAATTAAATGATTGTATCCTGCAACCTTCAAATCATTTTATCACTGAAACTCAACCAAATCTTTATCAGATCAGAAAACTAATTTGATATTCAAATTCAGCGTAAAATTTTGATTCAGAAAAACCTATAATTTCATAATTTTCATTTACTTTGATCCAATTTTTACCTATTTCAATTCCATGAACGACCGGGTCATTTTTTTTTTCACGTAAAAATTTTTTTTACGTGGCGCATAGTTCACGGGTTTCCGGGGGGTATATAAGCCGTGAGTCATAAAAAATAAGTCAGTTGGCGGTGTGAGCCGGTGAGCTCCACTCCTCTCTCTCTGGAGGTTCTCCAGAGAGGAGGAAAAAGCTCATCGGCTTACACGCTAGGGTTGAGGCCTGGACAAGTCCAGGTCTTACCTGAAACGCACCGAGAGGTTGCATTCCACCCAAACCGTCCAGAGCGGTTGCATTCCACCCAAACCGTCCAGAGCGGTTGCATTCCACCCAAACCGTTCAGAGCGGTTGCATTCCACCCAAACCGTTCAGAGCGGTTGCATTCCACCCAAACAGTTCAGAGCGGTTGCATTCCATCCTACTCTATTTAGAACGGTTGAAATCCATCCCGTCATATTAACAAACGCTAGAAGCAACTGTAACTCCAGAAAGAACTCAATGTAGCAAAATTAGACACTGAAACTGCTCGAAAACTAAGTACGTCACCAAACAATTCAATAAATGATACAACTAAAGAATGGCATAATGGTGCTCATGCCTCCTCTCCTCCTCCCATCGGTTAGAGTAGTGGATTCGCATATTCGATGTATTTGAACTCTTGATCTATGAAGTTAGGAAATACCAATTTGAAATGTCGGTGTGCGTCAGAGAATCCCGTAATATCCGGGACACGCTTATGGATCTAAACAATCTTTGAGTTGAGCCTTCAGCGACAAACAAAGATCAACGTGACATTTCATTGATCCCATCCCTCTATCAAAAAGCATATCGGGACATCTTTCGCTTTAGTCGGATATACGTGTACATTCCGCTCAATAAAGAAACTATGAGGGGGGAGGAGGATTAAGGAATAGAGAGTGCTTTGTAAGGCAGCAACCTGCGAGTTAACTTCAGACCGTTACAACGCTATGTGTATTACCATAACCAAAGAAACATGAAAGAAAGTGAAAACATGTTTAAAGCTCAAGGAGACACATAGATGATTAGGCGTTAACAAGAAGGCTTTCTCTCTCTCTCTCTCTACATTCCGTACACTTCATGCTCTTAAGGTGTTTCTCTCTGTCACATTTGCTTCTCTGATAGTTTCATTATTCTTGTCATTCTGAATAAAAATGCATATTGGAGATAGAATCTGGCACAAGAAGATGGTGAAGATTGGGTAGATGACTATGAAAAGAAACTAACCAGACAATCATCTCTTGATGAGGAAAATGAAGAAGATACTATCTCATTAACGTTGTTAGAGCTTCAGCCTATTGATTCATCCGAAGCTTCTCCAAATGTTCAGTGCGTGTTAAAGCGAGGTCATCTGAAGCTTTTGTATCTCACATACATCTCTAACAGCTCAAAACTACAATTTTAAGGAGGAAAGCTATGAGTTTGTGTAATCTGTGAGACATGCTCGTATCATATTTCACTTAAAACTCTTCCAAATAACTTCTAAGCTAGTCATCATTTATCATTCATTCGTTCCTACTTTTTTATATTCAGCTTCTTCTTTTTTTTTCTGCTCTGCTCGTCGGACAAGCATATATGAGATGTACATCTAAAGCCAGTTAAAAGGGAGAAAAGACAGAGAAACAGATGCATTACCAATTACAGCAGTCGTTCTCGTCCTTGTGAAAAGCCTCTGCCAAATGGAAATTTTGACCCGAAAAGCGCTTTAGTTTCGCAAATTTCCGTCTATTCTCAATGGTTTCGATTGAATTTAGCCAAATGATTCACTATGTGTCTCAGATTGGCCATACTTTTCTCGTTTTCATTGTCAGTCAGAACAGTTTGTTCATTCATTCAACAACTGCTTCCAAAAACATTCTGGGAACTCTGCTGAGTTGAAAGTGCTACATAGCGATTTGTCATCTTTAATCCACAACATGCTATTAATTATGGGTTCATCTGCCATCTGACAACAGACAATCTTTTGAGATTGATTAAGATTCTCATTTACATAACCATTTCATTTCATCTTACTTACGCTTCTTCGTTTTTGCTTCTTTGACCAACTGTCTAACGAGTGAACACAATGATTCTCCTCTTCTACCTCTTCTTCTCCTTCTTTTTTTATGAAAAAGCTTCTAATGGATCCCTAGAGCTTGCAAGTCTTCCGAAATCGCTTCAACCTCTCTCCTCATACGTTACTTATATATGCAAATTAAGAAAAAGTTTATGAAAATGTCACAACTTATGTCAGATCATGTCATGTCTTCTGAAACTTCTTCCATCTTTTTCCAATAAACTTCTTTCACTTCTGTCATATTACACAACCAACCGTTCACTGTCAACAACACTTTTACAATGATGCCTCATCTGCAACTCTATAGCACGTAAAGTTCTTCTAGTTCCACGTGAGCATTGTAATTAGCATAGAGTCATTGAGTCTAAATGACCTGTTTGCATGTCCCAGTATCGACGGATTTCATTTTCTTTTCACATTACATGCCATGCTTCTTCCTTCTTCTCCTAAAAAACAGATTCATACACCCTTACAGTTATTATACTCAACGTCAACATCAATCATTCAGAGATTTTATAAAAAAAACCTTTTTCAATTTTTTATTCTCTATTCTCTCATCTGCAGTGCCCAGTCCTCAAAGAGTAATTCAACTCTTACTCTTTCTTCATTGCTTTCACTCTCTTTCTTTCTCTCTCTCTCTCTCTGTTTTCTGTTGTCTTCTTGAAATTTCATGAAATTCATTTTCATATCAACCAATTTCAGTTCAAAATAGAAGCATTGTATCCAGCGGGGTCAAAAACCTAACCGAACCATGAACTTGATGGGATCCACAATGCAGGCCTATCGATTGTAAGTAATTTCAGTTATATTATCCTATCAATTATGTTTCAACTCTCTCTCTCTGCGTCATCTTCCTCTCTCTTCTTCTATCTACTCACGTATCTTTGAAATAATCTTTTTAGTACAAGAAAAGGCTTAGCCTTTCATAAAAACAAGAAATCCAATAAAAATTGCGAAACAGCGTCTGTCAGTTACCAGCTTGACAACACGTACAAGTCAATTCAAGCTTCTTACTGAATTTCATCAAAAATATACTCAGACCACTAAATCATCGTTCGCAGTGCTTGAATTCATAGAACAATGTGTTAACTTTCGAGAAAACACAAAAACAAGACTAAGCCCACTTGTGTTTTCTGAAAACCGCGCAGCAAACACAACCGCTCTCCACGTCTTGTAAATCAGAAATGAAAATTGTTCTCCTACCACGATTAGCATATTAAGCTGCTGCGTCGGCTTCCAACAAAAAAAAACAATCGATAACGAGATATTGAACGCAAAAGTTTATTCTGTTCATAGCATTCCCAACAAAACGTAATTTCGTGTTATCGGGCGAGCTGCAAGTCAGTGGCTGCATTCCAAATACATCCTTCTTATATCAAAATTATAACAACAATATATATTTAACTATGTGATGTCTATTCTATATATAAATAATACCAAAGTCCTCTTTGCGCAGCCGCCTCATTGTGTGTATCGCATTCACTATACCGATTTATCGATCGGCCGCCCTAGTTGTCTGCTGGCTGCACTCTGCTCTCCTCAAAGCGTTTGTAATACAAGTTCTGTAATCGAATATTATATTGGCCCACATTGAATGACCTTCTGAGCTATTCCTTAAATTTTTTATTTTCGTTTGAACCGTATAAGCTGTTTACAAGTTATCTACATGTTGTGTTACACCTTACTCATTGTTTATTCTTGATAATGGTACCACCTTTCAGGAGGAAGATAGAAACCTTAGCTAAGATGTCGAATCTTTCCCAAGACGACCTCGTGAATGGACTACGAACAGTACAACAGGTAAATATTCTTTTCAGTTTACTCAATAACATCTAATTCATAGGGACTGGACAGTTTGCGAGATGAAAATCAATCAATCGGACAGGGATTAGAAGCGGGAATAAAAGGTTTCATCTTGTATTAGTTTTGCTTGACCGTTTGTCTTTGAAGGTTTAAAAGAAGATGAAGCTCCCATGCCCAGAGAGAAACTTCTATTTATTAACGAAAACATTAACAGCATTTCTCATGGCTTGGAAGATATACAGGTGACGCATAATTTTTGAATACAAGTTGATGACTTTTGCCTTCTCAGATGATGCTCTCAGTTTTCAATTGTTTACAAGAACTTGAAGCTGATAAGCAGAAGTATCATGCTCAGAGAAGAAGATTGTGCCAAGAAAATGCTTGGCTTAGGGATGAGTTGTCCACAACTCAAGGAAAGTTGGCTGATGCTGAACAGGTGAGACTGCTGCTTGATCCTTTTTCATTCGTACCATCTCGTTCTAGAAAATAGCCCAACTAGATGAAGAAAATAAGCATTTGAAATACATTAACAGCATTAAAACCTTCGATGAAGATCTCTCGGGTGATGCTAAGAATGCCATCTCTGAGCCAGCTTCGGTCCCCACCACAAACGAAACCCTTCAAGAACTTGGTTTTGGTCCAGAAGAAGAAGAAGATATGAGTGGAGGTACACATCATGTTCCAATAGTATTCTAAGCTTTTACATTCTTCAGGAAACTTTGCTGTCCCATCCGCAGCTCATTCCATATCTGCTTCTGCTAACGTGGGTTACGAGATTCCTGCTAGACTCAGAACCCTTCACAACCTGGTTCGTTTTTCAACAATTTTCTTTTATCCTTCTTTGATTATCATAATTTGAATTTTCCTAACCTCCTTATAGTACCTTATTCAACTTGAAATTCTATTTAAAGAAGTTTGTTATGTAGGTTTTATAGTCGTAAAGAGTGTAAACTTCTATTTTCACGTCTACCTCAAACCGTCACACTGTTTGATTCCCAAATTACACTGACTCTCCATTTGTCTCTTTCTCTCTCATGTTCCATTTATCTTCTGTTAAATAATTACTTCCTTTTAAGGTGATTCAATATGCTAGTCAAGGCCGTTACGAAGTAGCGGTCCCTCTCTGCAAACAGGCCTTAGAAGATTTGGAGAAGAATTCTGGACATGACCACCCTGATGTTGCTACCATGCTCAATATCTTAGCACTTGTTTATAGGTTGGTTAATCATAGGGTCTTCCGTTTCACGTTTTGTTTTGCAGAGATCAGAACAAGTACAAAGAAGCCGCTAACCTTTTGAACGAAGCTTTAGCCATCCGAGAGAAATGTCTTGGAGAAAGCCATCCTGCTGTTGCGGCTACCTTGAATAACCTAGCAGTTTTGTTCGGAAAACGAGGAAAATTCAAGGATGCTGAACCTCTCTGCAAGAGAGCTTTAGAGATTAGAGAAAAGGTTTTTCGGTTCAATGTTCTTCGTTCATCTTTCCTATTTCAAGGTGCTTGGTGCAGATCATCCCGATGTAGCTAAACAATTGAATAACCTCGCCCTTCTGTGTCAGAATCAGGGAAAGTACGATGAAGTAGAGAGATATTACAAGTAGGATTCTTATTAATCCCGTCTCCTGACCAAGAGTCGATATTCAGGCGCGCCTTGGAGATCTATGAAAGGAAACTAGGACCCGATGATGCCAATGTAGCCAAAACAAAGAATAACCTAGCTTCTGCTTATTTGAAACAAGGGAAATATGCCGTAAGTCACATCACCATCTTTTCATTATGAGTTCTCCCTTTAAGGAAGCAGAAGAACTCTACAAACAGATCCTAACTCGTGCTCATGAACGCGAGTTCGGTAGAGTTGGTGATGAGAACAAACCCATTTGGCAAATTGCTGAAGAACGTGAGGAGAACAAACAGAAGGGAGAAAATATCCAACCTGACCAAAACGGATGGCAGAAGGCCGCTCGTCTTGATAGGTTAGCAAGGTTTATATTTAACTTCATACACTTTCTCCTCTTCCAGCCCAACAGTAGCAACAACGTTGAAGAACTTAGGAGCATTGTATAGACGCCAAGGAAAGTACGAAGCTGCTGAGACGCTAGAAGACGTTGCCCTCAGAGCTAAGAAACAGGTATTCTTTTGTGACTTACATTAAACGGTAGTAGAAAGTTCAAACTAAATGAGTAAATTGCCTGCTATGAGCTCATAGCAACCTATGAACTTCGTGTAAATTATGTGATGACCTCTGGCCATTTGTAGGCACAAGAGACTGCTCAGCATGAAAGGATGGTTCAGTTACTGGGCCATGCTCAACGTCCACAGGTTCGAAAAGTGTTCTAGGTGCCAGGGGTGAATAAGGGCTTAAGATGGTTAACACGAGGTTTTGAGAAGTTCAAGCTGAATGCTTTTTCTCTCAACTTGAAAGTGTTTATCAATTATTTTTTCTCTATCATTTCCAAACCATTACTCGATTCCCCCGGGTTCCGCATGTGTGTCGTTTAGTGCTCCCAATTTTTATTTCAAAATCTTGCACCTATCATGCTAAGGCTTTTGTGAAGTTGCTCTTCTTCCTAGTTCTTACTAGACAGATCCCTATAGGGAGTAGTGCACGTTGAAATTCATCACACGTAGGCCGTATCCACTCTCCTTCCCAACACCCTCGTTTCTAAGTATTATATATGTTGTGATGTGGTGGTTTTCAGCATGAACCCCTTCGATCGACGGATGAGTCGATGACGGCCTCCCAAATGAGCAGGATGTCAACCAGTCAGTCAGTACAAGGAATCAAAGGAAAGCTGATGAACGCTTTCGGCCTCAACTAGCCAAGTTTGGAGATCTAAATCCTTCAGTTCATTTGTTGTATATTTCTCTCTCTGCTTTTTCTTTTTTTTTTGTGAAATCAACAGCCTTTAAGACATCGCTGGTATTGCTAATGTGTTGTGTCGTGTTCTTATTCTCTCTCTCTCGCTCTCGTCCTCTCTTTCATACCGAAAGTCAGTAGAGATAAGCATAATGGAGCTTCTCCTACTCTCCCTGTAGAAATTGGAAACCTCAAGTAGTATGGGTGATATGTCCAAACACGCGAAGGTACTGTTGACTAACGCAGTTTGAACAAATCGCTCGTGCTCGCAACAAGACCCGTATTCTAATAATTTCTGAAATAGTTCTGAGCTTTTTGCATATTCGATGTCAGGCAAAAATAATGTGATATATGTGATTCTAATATAATTTTTATCTCTACAAATCATTTGATTGTGGTATTTGAACTGAAAAAATAATTTATCATCATGTGGTGTCTCTCTTGTGTATTTTCAAGTCTTAATATAAAAATATAAATATGTGCTAACGTTATGTTGTTCGAGCAATCACACACACACACGAATTGTTCTTTTAGATTGCTGAGCAAAGAAAAATGGAGAAGAGCATATTCTAAGCCGGACGTCTCCCATCACTCTCTGTGCCTTTCTTCTTCAGCTTCTTGCTTCTGCTCATTCCATGTATGGCTACCATTTCATGATCTCTTTGATTTGAATATTTTTGTTCTGAATGTTTGTTTATTTAATAAAGTTTTTCTGTCTTTGTGTGTTATTGTCTTCCAGCTCTTCCACACTCCAATCCAACTTCTCATTCCGGTCTATGCCATATGTGTCCATGAGATCCAATAGCATTGTCTGGATCTTATCATAATCAGGCTCTTCTTGGAATCTGAATGACTTTGTCAAGCATCATGGAGAACTTGAATTTCAACTTGGTTGCTATGATTAACTCGAATATCTCTTTGAAATCAGAATGCTTTTCGTCCAACAGCTCCGGTCTTTCATGTATAGATATCTTATAATCAATCACATGCTTTCTGGGCAGTCCACCCCATGGCAAAGAGCCTACAATGAGATGAGTAACACCACTTCCTCTTTCATAACAACTTGATGAAATATACATGATCATATAAAGCCAGCTTTCCAGTTCATCCCTTGGTCCTTGATCCTGTGCTGCATTGGCGGCCAAAGAGCCATAGAAGTCAGTCCCTACCATTGGGCCTTTTCGTCTTGGATCCTTTATTGTTTTGTCGTTTTTTCTGGGAAATGTTGCAACTTGTATACCAATTTGTAAAACCTGAAAGGTCGACAGAATCCCAGATCAATTGCATAAACAACATGAGATTGAGAATTCCCAACAACAAAATTATCCGGCTTGATATCCCTGCAGATTTCCATAAACACTATTAAGACCAATTCCAAACCTATGCAAAATCCCAAAGTCATGTAAGGTTCTCAGTCTCCCCAACGTTTGCTGAGCAATTTTCAAGCTTGTGCCCATGCTAAATCTGGAACGTTGATCATCTCATTGATTCGTATGGTCTGAACAATCCCAACTTCGCAGACCGACTTGAATCCAAGAACGATTGGAGCGAACGCCCAAATAAGTTCATCACTGAGAACGAATAGTCTTCGGTTTGTCCGGCGAAATACAATTGCGGGAAACCATCCACATTACTAAGCATTTGTAAAGCTCTAATTTCTCTTCTAATGAATCTGTTGCGGACTTATAAAAAGGGTTTTAACGAATAATCGAAGAACCTGTTCTCATTCGAAATTTTGAGAACGAACTTCGGTTTTAGTGTTGGCACAGAGATCTGAAAAGGAGAATGCCTAGATGAGCGTTATTTCATACCTCAAAAACTTGAGAGAAAGGCCCCGAATAGATAAGTTTCTCGATCTCACATCGGAAACTACCCAATTGGAGGACTCGTCCGAGCTGAAATAAATCAAATAAACATTCGGCGAGTGGATTTACCTTGAAATCGTTGTTGGCCAACTCTACGGCAGCCATACGACCGGTTCGAGAAAATGAAACTACACAGAAATGTAAATGGTGCAGCTCCAAGCATTGCCAACACCTGACACGTGTCATTCACGCTGAGCAACAAGAGACTGTTAAAAAATTTATTTGAATTAATACAAATAAAAAATGACATAAAAAAGAACTGAAGCTAGACGTCTATGCGTGGGTAACCCGTGATTATGGTAGTATACATTAGCTCATGATTTAAATAATAATAATGGCATGGAAAAAGCACCTAAAACTATAATAGTTTTGATCAAATATAGCTGTAACTGTTTCTCTTCATCCTCCTTCCTTTCTTAAGATCGTCGACCACGGATAAATCGGTAGACTACTGCTGCTCCAAGACCTATGACACCAAGACCAATGGAGACGTATAAAACCTCCGTCAACACATTGACACTTAAATGAGACGATTAAGAAGAAAAAAGAATATTGTATGCTCACCTCTTGGAGTCAAGAAGGCCTGTCGGTCTCTTTGGTGTTCGAGGAACATCATCAATGATAGAATGAGTCGATGGAGCGTAGGATGTTACGGATTCTGCGTCATCGTCTTTTGAGGTGTCAGGTGTGACAGGGATCAGCGACTCTACAACATAACTACGATAAGAAACAAAATACTTCACCGGAGTCTAAAAATATCTCTTTCTTGCATAGTTTTTTTTTGGGAAGATGTGAATGCTAAAAAATCTTGGCGTACTGCACAAAAAAACCGAACTGGATCAGCGAATCATCACAGAACACTCGGAAAAACGGGAAAGACAAACAAATATTTCCGGCAGAGTTATATAATTCGGAACTAACAAGCCAGATGAGCGAAACATTGAGATCAAAGGTTGCAAAACTTCTGTAGTTCTTGAAGTTTTGCTGATTAGACTCAGCGGTCATGAGATGCGAGAACGGTTATCAATACTCATTAAGAGAGGTGATTAATGATAGACTGTTGACAAACCTGCTAATGCATGAAGATTCTTTTCAGATGGAATAAAGTTGGAAGTAAGCACAGGACTTTGAGCGGAGAAGGATGGCAGAGTGTTCGGCTCCTAAAACGTAAACCAGTTTAATAGAAACTTGATACAGAAGTTACGATAAGAATGGATGAAGGCATTACTGATCGATGTAGAACAGCCTGAAGATAAAATAATGAAAATTAAGCAGCCAGGTAAGAAGAACAGGAAGGAAAAGATAGATCTGAAAAACGGAAACACGAGCGACCGGCTCCAGGCCAGCGAGGGCGTGCATATGAAGAAAGAACGAGGAGAGAAGAAAGAACAAAAAAAAAGTCAGTGAGAACACTGCATCATAAATCTCGTCAAAAAAAATAATCTTAAAACAAATTATAGGAAGTGGAGTGTGTTAAGAGAGGAATATCAATATGCAGAGTGTGTTGGCCGAGATGTTTTGAGTTGGGTCAAAAACCGAAGATAACTTCGAGGTTTGTTGTACAGCAACATGAGAAAGATGTAAAAACAAAAAGAGAGTGAGAGATAGAGTATGTTTCAGTCAACAATATGATGGGAAAACACCAGAATGCCTTCTGCCCATTATACAGTGTAGGACGGGAGTAGATGAAGGCGACCCAGTATGATGAAATCAGAACACAAACATGCTATGGTCTTAAAACAAAAAAAACTTGAAAAGCTATATAAAAAAAGAGGGAGTGACTGTACTCTAATCTCAAGCAGTTTCATGTCATGGGACATAAAAACTTCTTCACAGGACTAAAATTTTAACTCGGATTAGAGAATAACACAAGGCCAATAAACATATGGTGATGAAGAGACGCAAGAAAGCCACAATGTCATCACGTGAAGAGAACGAGGACAAAATGATGATGTAATTTCTGACATCAGATGATGAAATCAGGCTAATAAAGCCAAAACTCAAAAACAAAACAAGATCGCTAATTTGAAAGGCATTGCCACGATCATGAAGAGGCGCGGCCGGATGAATGACTGTGTGAGATGACAAACAAGCAGAAAAAGACTCACTGACACAATCCGCGTCTCTGCCCCAGACTCCACTATTAAGTCGGCCTTTTCACCTGCTATCCTGAACGCATTTACAGCCTCGTCATGTGTGGTATTATCAAGCAGACAGCCATTAATCTAAAAAACAAGGTAGAAAAAACAGTCCCAGTGAGAGAGAGAGAGAAATACCGAAATAACTCTATCTCCTTCGTGTAAAACTCCACTCCTAGATGCTGGACTATCATACATAACTGTTGAGATGAATATGGAGTTCTCACCAGGGATATGAGGACTGTCTGTTCCTCCGACGATGTGAAGCCCAAAACCTACAATGCTGGAATAGATATGGAAGACACAGAGGACATACCCTTGTTCTCAGCCCTCTCTAAGGAAACTGCAATGAACGCAATGCCAGATGTATCGCCTTGTTCCTTCAGATGTTCTACAATACGGGAATGTTATGAAAACTATGGAGGAGAAGGAAAAAGCTGAGATTATTAAAAAAGCGATTGAAAAGAGAAAAAACCTTTAAGTTCTTCGGAATAAACAGATTTATCGTCTTTCAAGGGATTCTGCATATTGTACACCTGCATGTTCTGCAATGATAAGATGGAATAATCCTAATGTGTATGAAATTGAAGAAAAACAAAAAACATCAAACAGAACAGGGACTTTCTGTATGACTAACCGGTGAAGCATCCACTACTCGACCCTATGTGAAACGGTACTCACGTACTCTCACGTACTCTCACGTAGCTTTCATTTAAAAATCCAAATAGTAGAGAGCGGTTGTTTTCACGATAAACAAAGCTCAACTGCTATTTCGTAATAATTTTTCAATCGTTTCAGGATCGTGATGATTGGATCAGATGGTTTACAATTAGATTTTCAAGAGCAATGTATGATAGGTGACCAATTGAAAGTAGAGCTTATGCTCAGAACTGGATTTGTGGATGTTCATTTCCAACACAAAATGAGTGGCTGGTGAGCTCATGTTGAAAGTTCAATTCTAATATGTTTAACTATCCTTGTCCTCTTTGAGTTTGTTAGTTTTCACACTATTTGTACAGATTTTAGCTTGTAGATTAGCTTTGCTGAGCTTTTCTTTTAGATAACATTCGAACCTCGTGTTTTAAGGAAAGGTTTCGCATACGTGTCGGATTGGTATCCTCTAGGGCCATGTCTGACCGCCTGTTGTGTCCGCTTCCTCTTTACAATGTGTCCGAAATCTTCATTAACGTACGAATAATCTAACCCTATATCATTCGTAATGTTCCATGTATTTGTCCCTTTCCTTCTCGATTGTTCTGTTCACTCCTGTTTTGCGTTGGCTCGAGTTTATAGACCCTTTTACAGGACTGCCTTACACTGGGCCAGCAAGAGAGCTCACGAAAACGTCTGCGTTATTCTGCTTGGAAGTGGATTTGACCGAGACACCAAGGATAATCAAGGGAGAACACCTTATGACGTACTGATAGAGCTCCATACCTTATATAAACATCTTTCTCATAGGTTTGCCCTCTCAACTGCACAACTTTGAGAGAGATTTTACGACCCGATTGTGTAGAAGCAGAGATGCCCGAAGGTTGTATATGAGAGTGATATGAATTTTTGAAGATTATCTTTTCAGCTAGTAGTTCTCGAGCAAGCTCTTCAGAGAATGATAATGCATTCGTGCCCTCATATATCCGTAATCCTATTTTCCCTTATACCGGCAAGCCCAACTCTTTCGATGCTGTTACCCCAAGTAGTTCTTTTCTTCATTTCTTTTTATGGCTGTTTGTTTTGAGATTCACCAACTGGTAAGCAGAGCTATTATTCTTATGGCCGAAGAGATTCATTGAACAAAACAAGGTTCCTTCTTCTTCGCACTAGGTATGTGATCAGTGAGAGGACAACACAGTGTCATTATCTCTACTCAGCTTTGGAAATGGCAAGGAAACTTACAAACGAATCACATTGCCTGGTGGCTCAACCGTCGAACAGTTGAGAAAGTTGATTGAGAAAGCAACTCAGCGTCCTGTTTCGTTCGTGATAACTCTGCCTGATAAAGTACTTTTTGTACTCTGAACAAAAATTACATTTGATTGATTGCAGGTTCTGATAGAAGAAGATGAACAGATTCAAGAGTTCGGAGACTCACAGAAGATCGAAGTCATCTATGATGATGAATCCTCAGACTCATCACAGGTTAGCAAATTCGAACGTACTTTTGTTTTCTTTTTTTCTGATTAATTACACTTTTTCACGCCCAACTAAAAAAAAACGTCTCCTTTCCATTACTTGAGGGGGTATTCGTCAGTTGTTTTCTCCTTTGCTATATGAGCTGAGTAGAAACGTCAGCGTTTTAGTCTAAGCGGTCAACCTTTCGTTGATAGCGTTTTGTTGGTTCCGCTTATTGATCATATTTTACTTGATATGCTCAGGAATCTCTTTAACCATAAATTTTGCTTTTACGGTTCCCTTTCGAACGCTTATGATCTGTTGATCAGAGGCTCTTTCGAAAAGCACCAGTTTATCCCTCGCTGTTGAAATTCTCTCTGAAGGATATTTTCATAAACAAAGCGCAATTTCATTTTTGATTACGAGAAGATGAAGCCTCGAAACGTTGTTGTTGATTAGAAGTAACCGAAATTTCTTAAAAATTATTTATGCGCGTTCACAATGCCTTCTAATAGATAAGTATGTTAAACCCTATGTGTCATATGTCTCGTCAGATCGACCTCTGGCTATTAGTTTAAACCTGGGACTAAACATATCACATTTTCTACTCGATAAGCTTGCTCTTCTCTGTTCATATTGTTACTTGAATCTGATAATGATGTCGCAAAAAGAGATGCCATCATCTACTTTGACATTCCCGAAACAACGTTTTTTCGTGCGCTCTCGAGCTTCTCGCTATTGTGAAAAAATCCGTTCAGAGGTATCATATTGATCTGATGACAATCACTTCTTCTTTTGATATTCACACTCTGCTTCGTTTTTCAGAGCGCCGAAATCGAATCTGCCGAAAAGAAAAAAATGGAGGAAAATTTTGATAGTTCTCTAGTAAATAGTAGGTTCCTCTCTGCGTCTACTGGCTATACTTGCTGTCTTTTGAGATTCTCTAACTTCTGAAATTCCCAATGATACCTCACTTATCGATATTCCTCAAGATGATGAGGAGGTATATTACTTATGTTCTTTTAATTAGCTGAGATTTTCTTTTCAGCAACCAACAACAGATGTTCCAGCACCTCCTATTGATTCTCTTAACACTGTGTCAGCTGAAGCAACTCATGAAGTTTTTCAGTTATACTTGTTTCTCTAACATCTCTCATTTTAAAGGCTGCTCCTACCTCCTCTGAACTCACTGAAGTTTTGTCAGCGGAAGAGGACAGTGAGCTTCCCGTTGATATCACAGACGAACGTATAAGAGCCAGTATGGATTCTGATCCCGGAGATTATGTGAAGGTTCGTGTTTGCTTTTTGAAATTTTATATATTTTGTTGGTTTTTAGATTGAGCATGATGAGTCTTCCAAGAAACAAGAGATTTCAACTTCCAAAGAAGAAACTCTGCCTACCGTTGCGGACGATGAATCGCCTAGAGCCGTCATTTTAGAGAAGAGTAAACTTGATGAGACTGGCGGTATTACCAAATGGGTCGATGAAAACCCCGAAGCTGTAAGTTTCTGACATTCTCGTTCGTTTTGTTTGAAACTTGGTTTTGCAGGTACGTCGTGCTGCGACTATTGCTGCCATTGCTTCTGCTGCTGGAATTGGATATCTCATCTATGCTCGTAAATTCAAATAAAGCTCCTGACCATAGACGAAAACGTTAAAATTGTTTAATAAGGTAATCGAAATACCACATAGAAGATCTATAGTAACTTCCGGTTGATTTTATTTTGATAGGTTACACCTATAAAGCTTAGCATGTTGATCCGTTTGCTCGGGTTATTTTTGACTTAAGATTTTAGCTCAGTTTGAATTTGTGATCAGTTATCTGTTAAATTTGGATAAATTGTTGAAGTAACATTGAAATTCTAGTCTTTTGAGTTAATTTCATCGTTGGGAGACGATCATCATGCACAAGTTGTTCAATTGGAGCATACGTTACCCATTTCATTAAGTACTACATGCATGTCTTGATGAATGAAGAACTTTTCTCAGTTACCCACAACAACTACAGATCTTCCGAATTAATTACTTCCGCGGATATAAAGTATAAGAAGCTTTAAGAAAGCATTTTATTACAAATATATATTGGAAAGTTGATGTATGGATCATGGCATAACATGTGGCGACAGCAGAACTGATAGCAAGCGATATGCTAATGAGACACGTATGACGCGCACGTGGAGGAAACAGCGAGAAAAAGCTCATTTAGTTTTTTGCGAACAATAGAAAACGGTTGTTATTTGACATTTTTGAGAATCAAATTGAATTAGATAATTACTTTAATCAAAAACAATATTCTATTTGAAATTATAGAAACTAATTAGAGTGAGATTATTAGATTGTTGTCGTTTCGACATAAGTAACTTGAGTGTTTAATGGAATCAAGACTGATGATCGTTTTGAATTATAAGAATTATCATTTTCATGACGTATATCTCTACTTCCTTTTCTAGATGAAGACATGACAGCATTATGTCCAGTTCGATAGCTACTTCTTGAAACCGTTGAATGCTCTGTGATGCCGGCTGCCTAAATGAAGTTGCATCATCTCATTATGTATCTTTTTTTTCCAATATGCAATGCCTTAATTCCCTCTCACAACACAACAACGAATAGAACGAACTCTACGTATATATATAAGGGATACTAGACAGGCGGGTAGGACGAGGGCAAGCATATGGCATTGATAGGAAAAACGAAAGAAACAAAGAAGACTGAGTTCGCACAATAAACTCTCACATTCAGTTTTTGATTGAATAGTTCATTTGAATTTTTTGGAAATGTTACTGCTCGATAGGTTGTTAAAACAGTTTGTCCCACAGCTTTAGGTGCTAGCTAAAATTAGTACTAAAAGAGTGGAAATGGAAAGATGTATCAGATCTGATAGTGAAACATAGAGAGAGGTTTTACCTTACTCTTCGTGTTCTCTAAGTATCCTGGACAGATGATCCGTCTCCAAGCTATGATAGCAGTTTTGCGGAAGTTGGCACTTGAAAGTTAAACGATATATGAAAAAACGGAAAATGTTGAAAAGCTATATACCTCGAGAAAGCATATACGACAACATCAATAGCCGAATTTAAATAATACATATAATGAGCGGTGTTATATATAAACTGAAATGGAAGGATTAGCTTATGGATAAGTGGAGTATCAACTACCACGAATAAATAGGACCTGTCCAATTGATTAGCTGCCTTTTCATAAATAACTTGAAAGACTACCTAGATGGATGGGGTATTAGGAAATCATCAAGCATCATCAAAGCATTACCTCAACCATCATAATAGCATAGAACGGTGTATTCAACACTACGAACACCAAAGGCATTACCCATAGAATTGTTGCCCATGTTCCATTTGAATGGCTTCCTAACAACACATGTCTCTCTTGATAATCTTTTGAATTCGCAAACCTCCTTGTCGGCGAGTCAAATTTTCTTTGGCCGCTATCTCCTCGCAACCAAAATGAGTGGAATTTCGCAACTTCAAAGCTACCATGATGTTGAGAACAACGATAACAGAACAAGGAATAACATAACAGAGCAAAGTGTCCACTGCTTGAGCGATAATCTACACATACTTTTATTGTTTTTGAAATATTTAATTATGCTAACTTGATAAGACGCTTCTGTCAAAGTACATGCTCTCATATCAGCATCAGTACTTGGAACAAGGCTGACGAATTGCCAGAATTGAAGAAGAAAAGGTATCGGAACCCAATATGATACCATTTTGACACGATCAACATGATCATACTACAAGATTGATTTCAACTTGCAACATCTATCATTTCATCTTACCCGAACATGTCTGAGAGGATGAGCAATCGCCAGGTACCTTTCAATAGTAAGGAATGCCGTCGCCCAACTGGAGACATATGAAGCGGTCATCAGAACATATTCCAACCCTACACAATACCAATAATTTATAAAATCAACCTAAATCAGTAAAAGTGAGGATAGGAGACGTAGTGAGTGAGTAACCTTAACACAAACAAGGAGAAGTCCAAGGAGAAAGCTGCTGTCGGCTATAGTGAGAACGATGAGATAAACATTTGCCCCAACCTGAAATCAACACAGATATGCTCATTCGTGTATCTCAAATGACTTACGCGACGTAGACGGCTGTGAAATATCGTCACAAGACTTATAATATTGCCGGAAAGACCAAAAAATACAATAATTGGTAAGATGTATTTGTATTCATTGACAGAAGCATCTTCTTCTTCTTCATGCGGCAAAGCCGGTGATGGAATTCCGTTCAGGTAAGCAGATGTTACATTCATCTTAATGTTTAGCAAATAAAATGTCAGATTCATAGCTATATAAGAAGCGAATAGAAGCAACCAAGAGAGATGTGAGCTTCTCGACTTCTACTGCCGACAAGACCTTTCTACTCTTGTTTTATATAATACATAAGCATATAATTGAGTAATTTCAGTCAATTAGATGACTTCTCTCTCCCTTTTTTTTTTCATTGAACTTTACTCGAAGAAAGCCAAAGCAAAACGCTTTCTGCCCTCAAATACATCAAAGCACAACGACGGCGAATATCAAAAATAGGCCAAACTGAGTCATATGCAATGGAGTCGAACGAAACGAACGACTAAAAAACAGTTGAAATTCACAAAACAGTAATTATATTTGAACAATTTTTAGATAATTAACATATAAACTTAATATAATTATATAATTAGAAGGCAGAAAAACGAGAACAAAAAAAGAAAAAGGAAGCCAATAACAAAGCTCATTCGAATGAACAAATGAGTGATATAGCCATCAGTGAGATCAAGATGAAGACTAGAAGAGAAGATGAAGGAGAGTAACGATAGGAGAGTAACGATAGGAGTGAACGATAGGAGTGAACGAAACAATAACATTCCGCCCCAAATAAGGTAAAAGGCATATGAAACAATCCGATTATGGCATATAAGCTTCATAAAATGGCTCTCGGAACATCGTTTTCAATTACATTTTAACAACAGATCGTTTTTCTATTGTAAACGAAGTAGATTGCATAAGTCAAGCGTGATGGTTTATAAAATCTTCTCCTTGTTCTTTTTAAAGGCATTAGAAGTATTAAGCATGCATGGTTTCAGATCTTACTGTATTATTAGAGAGAACGTTATACATACACTGCATGTAAGTGTATGCATATGTGTGTGAGTATGTGTGAGAAGGAAGTATGCGATTGTTGAAATAATAATAAAAAAAGGAAAGAACAACCAGTTAGTGCGTCTGCAACAGCACAAATGAACATGACAGCTTTAGTGAATTGACGTATCCACGTGAACTATTACGTCATTCTAATGAGGCACGTGAAATCAAGCAGACTAACAAAACGTTTGTATGGATATGAATGAGAGAGCCCAAGTCAGACTGAGCTGAAAAGCTGAGCCTGTATTAGCTAAGTAACTGATCTGTATGCCGGATATGACGACAATGCTCTTCAATAGAGAAGCCATGAAATGCAAAACTCAAGTTAAAATGAGAAATTGTAGGATTCCCATGTTGAATACGAGATAGATGAAGGTGTGTTCCTTGGATGACAAGGAAGCTGCGAACGACGACAACGAATGAATCGGAAACGCAACATCATAGAATAACATATAAGTTATGACGATATTGTATGGAAAGCTTGTTGTAAAGTTATTGGAATGAATACTTCGATGAACATATGCGCTACGGAATAGGTTTTTGGCTGGACGTCATTCCACATATAATTATGAACAATTATCAGGAATTAATTATGGGTAGGGAGAGAGGAGCAAGACAAGAGCTCATCATCATCCGTCAGATGATGATGGCTCGTTCCAGCCTTAAGCTTCATCATCATCATCATGTCTTTATGGACAAAAAACTATAAAATTCAATAAAAAATTGAAGGAAATGGCTAGATGGAATGGGTCCGGAATCTACCCCCCCCCCTTCTCCCTCTCTCTCTCTCTCTGTCTCCCTCCATTCTCTGTTTGAACAAATTTCCTTTGTAAATTTGCCTCCTTCAACCTTCTTTCATCGTTTTATTAATTTTCCTTCAAATTTTCTCTTCTTCTGACGTAATTAACTATTCTTCATATAAATATATATGAATAATGTCGTTTTTGAAAAGAATGAAGGGGGGAATATCTATATTGACTTCCGTTTTTGTTTTTGGCTGTCTCGTACTTCTCTCAGCTACTGTTTGAAGCTATTGAGTTTATGAACGGATTCAACCCGATCAAATCTGCTTCAAGCTAAACAAAAGACAACAATCAATAAATGGTTTTTCCTATTTTCAGACTTATTAGGAAGCCATGAGGAGAGGCAATCGCCTCACCACCACACATACACACACACACACACACACAGAGTTAGATTGAAAGAGAGGTGGAGAAGCTGATATGTAGAGAGAAAGGAAGAAGCATTTACATATAGAGGGAGGATAAGAAGCTTACGTGGACGTAGAGAGAGAGAAGGGGGGGGGATAGGATGCATAATGCTAATCCCTGATTGACCAAGTGATTTTTTAACAGAAAAAAACAAGTCAAATTGGAAAATTCAACAAAACAATGAAAATGAATGAAAACAATTGCATATTCGTCTAATAAGTCTGTGTTCATCTCATCTCTCACAATCCCCTTATTTGCTTCAAAATTAGCATATATGTGATGAAAGTGACAGAAGAAAGTTACAAATGTATTCGAAATTTCAATCAATTCATGCATCATAGGTAATGAACTCGTTCATGCCTCAGAAAGCTCAGCAACTTGTTGAATGACAGGAATCATATCCGACTCAAGTTGTCGGTCGGTTTTACAAAACGAGGGAGAGAAATAGATAGATAGAGGGATAGATACAGGGAGTATGAGGGAAAGAAAAAAGTGCACGGCAACTGCAGCATTTCGTTTTGAAAATTTGCATACAAAGATCAAATTTAAGAGAGCAATGTACCAATTAGAGGCAAAGGAACAATAGGGTCATAGTGGGCGTTCAGTTTGAATATCAAAAATTATTTTAGCGGAGCATGAGAGAGAGAGAGAGATAGGAGGGGAGATGGGAGGGGGGGAGCTCTCCTCCAAACTTTAAATTCGGGAAAAATAGCATAAACACATCTTATTTATAACTAATCGCAAATAGTAGATGATTATAGCCGTGGGCTGAATGCTCAGATAGAAGAAGGCATCAACTCATTGACGTAAGACGCTCTATTTGGTCAGATAAAAGCCTGAGACAATGAAATTCAGGTTATTTTATACATGATTAGCATACTAATTATAACATAGTTCAGAATATCGTCGATTCAATTGTCTTCTCTAAAGCCGTTTATCCTACTAGCGAGTAGCGCTTCTTGCAATTTATACGCAAACTGCACACACACACCATCACACACACCATCACACACACACATCGCCTCCTATAAAACTTTGAAGCAGAAGAAGATGAAGAAGCAAGAAACAAAACACAAACAGCTGAAGTATCATTTTTGATTTCTAACCCATCAAACAGCAGAACGAAGGCATCTACCGCACCACTGGCCTTTTACCGTATTCGTTAACAGCACAGAGGTTTTCGAAAAAAACACAATTTTTCTCATTCAGCCAAGAGGTGCAGATGTAGTTATTAAGTATAGAACGCTAAGAAAAACAACGTCTTAATAAAGGAGTCCCTTTGACAAGCCATCGATGCCCTTACATGCTCTTCGTTAGAAGATCTTACATCTTCATTGCTATGTCGGCAAACAATCACTCAAAGGACTATCAAAAATGAATATTCAGGTTAATTAAATTATAAATCAGTATGAGTGAAAGACGTTCAATTGCTGATGTGATTCAATAGAAGATATGAAACGAGGCGAAAATCTGATGAAACTACGTCAAGATTAGAACATTACTGAGAGCATAATCTCGTCCAAATACTAAGAATGGTCCAAATTAGGATATAACCAGACGATTTGCTCAATAGCCAAGTACGACGGATGGCAAATTGAAAAAGTTTTCAAATAAAAGTAACGAAAAGGTTTCCGCAAGTGATTCATTGTGATTATGAGCATAGACAGGGTAGTGCTTCTTCTGCTTACTATAAAACCATTCAATGGCTCCAACAAATAAAAAAATGTTTTTAATTCCTTTATTGGAGCCTTTGGTAATTTGAATGTACGAAGGGTGGAGGAAAGGATGAAGGCAGTAAACCATACGTAGAGAATACGAAAATAGAATGATTACATATTAACATATCTGGATATATAACTTCATTCTCCTATTATAGTAACTACAAGAAGAGATGCACAGCTCACAACTTCGAAAGCTAATTAAAAACGAATACAGCTATTGAGAATCAGTTGAGCATAGTCTGAGATGTGAGGCGGTTGGGTGATGAGGTAAGAAAACATATGAGAAAACTGGATAAAAATAGGGAAAGAGAGGGAGGGAGATAGAAAGAGGGAATGAGATTGGCAACAGCCTGACGACGGAACGATGACAGAGTGAAATGAGTTCCGAGGAAGTTCATCTATTCAGAAGTTTGAAAGATTATGATTTCATAGCTTCTAGAGCCATCTACTTATTTCCGGAAAGAGAAGCTTTTTTGGTTTGTCGTCATCTCCCCCCCCCCACTAGTCTCGTGAGGTTCTGGGATATCAGCAGTTGGCATCAAAATCAGACATCACACATTTATATATATAAGCTTTAGACATATTTTTTCTGGCGATAAGGAAGAGAAATAAGAAAACAGTTTTCAAAAGTTCACTTCACAAGAAAAATGGCTCAACGGCATCTCATGATGCTGTCTAAAGCCCATAGATGAGAAATGCTCCAAATTGCGAAGGACAAATAGAAGACAATTGGCAAATGTTGGGGCTGAAACTAAAATAAGTTTTTGTGGAAAAACTCAAAACACATCATGAGTAGATGTGATAAGACAAGATATGTGAGCTCCCAAGCTCCCTCAGCTGAATGATCTTGTAGAACAGTTACCCTTTCCCTCCCCCCATTTCTCTCTATCCCATGCCACAGTTTTTCTTTCTCACCCTCCATTCTTTTCATTTCGTCTTTTTTTCTCTCTCTCTCCCTCTCTCTTTGTAATCGAAAGCAACATAGCAAATTTCTTTAGCAAAGGCAAAAGTAAAGTAGAGCTGAATATAGACGTCATGGCACCGCCTTCTGGTCAGAGAGCATGGCGAAACAAACTTTTCAATTGCATGAGGCCATCTCATATTAATAATATTAATTTTGTAGAAACTTAGAATTCAATGCATTTTTGCATGAATAAGACTAAAAAACTTAGTGAGCCAAAGAAAAATAAGAGCAAATAACATGAGAGTGTTAGAACTAGAGAACATGAAGCTCAACTGAAATCAGTTTCGGTGAGTGTGGCTAAAAATGGAAAAAAAATTATATAAACTCTCAAATATATTGCCAGAGGAGATCAAGAAAAGTTTAGGCTAGCCCATTGTTTATTTTGCAGATTTAGGTGATCAATACAAATGTGAACTTTGAACTCTGAATGGTGGTGGTGCCATACGCATTAACCTTACAACAGAGAGATGGAAGACAAGATTTTTTTGGGATATTTAATATTCTCCTTTTACTCTATTTGGTACTTGTCAACATGGGCTTTACTAAAACAGAATGTAACAAGAGATCCTTTTTCCGTTATTTGAGTTTTGAACAGGAACTTCAAATTTTCAAAATGTTTTCATAGCTTTGGATCTTTGTAATTACAAGATGAACGGTGATGCTTTCATATTGTTTGGGCTAATGTGGAAGTTGCCCGCTTCAAAAAATTTCAATGAGCAATCGTTTCTGTGTATGCTCAGATCAGCTGATTGCCGAATGTGTATATGTGAGGAAGTTGAGTTTTTTAAGCTTTTGACCAAGCTGACTGGAACATATTTCACGTATTGGCAGATCAGCTGAGGATGACAGGGTTCTGCTCACTTATTTGGTTTGGAATTAACAGAAGAAAAGTTCTTCTATGATATATAATAGCGAGAAGGTATCAAAACGAATGTGAGAGGAAAGGATAAGACATGGAAGTGAGAGCTATCTAGAGACAGCTCATAGCTCAGTCCATAGAAAACACCATAATTTGAATTTTTAACAAACTAAGGAAATAGTTTTTTTGTTGGGAAATGTGAAACAAAGGAAGCTAACTGCCGAAAACATGAATTACTTTATTCTTCGGAAAGCAAGGAGCGAATAACGATAAGATGTGTATGTGTGTATGTGTATGTGTGTGTTTCGTGGATGGAGTTGATGTTAACATATAACGTGTCAAGCAGATGTTTAAGTGATAGGCAGCTGAGAGAATGTAGTAGTAGAACCCGCCCTGCCTTATACCATGTTTAGATCTTATTAGAACGAGATGTTAAAAACATTATTAAAAGACGAATAAAATAATTATAACAACGTTATATCTCCCTCATAATATGATATACAATGTACATGAACCTGTATACTTTAAGAAGTACAAATCACAGAGGAGCTATTCCCAAGTATTTAGCTACAAAAACTCTTATAATCGCTGTCAAATGGTCTATTGTTGGATAATCTAAAATATCTCCGTTATCACGAGCTGTATGCCATACTTGCGGGAAAGGAACCGTGATGAGATGGAGAATAGGAACTCCTGGAAAGTAAACGATCTGTATTTTTATAGCCGTTCTACAAAATTGCATTATGAGTACAATTCATTTATGCTAATTCGTTGGCGCGTATATACGTGAGCTCGCGCAAAAACTTCACGTGGCATCATTTTAATTCTCAGAACGATGCAGACTGGTTGCTTTTCGTTTCTCATTTGTTTTTCTCTTTTCAATTAAGTTTTTTTCAGTTACCTCTTTTCATGAAAGGTACATGATCGTCTTCTACTACATTTCCGGACAAGTTCGGATTGAATACATTTCTGACACTGCCCAAACATCTCATCTGTTTCAGTTCCAGTTCTCAAAAAGTAGAACTTGAAAATTGAAATTTATAATTTTAAACCTATTGTAGATAATTGGCGGAATAAGTCAGTTGCTCCTAACCCCACACCATTCGAGATTACTGGATTCTTAGCACCCAATAAGTCAAGAAGCATGAAAGCGTCCTTCAAACATGTTTTAAACACTTAAGGTTCGTTACCACTCACTATTCTATCAATTTCCTTGCTTAATTCGAAATTAGAGCCACTGGTTGATGGATACCATTTAGATTCCCATTTAGCTGCTAAATGTCTTGAGCCATACAATGAGTCGGTAGATGTCCATTCTTCAAAAGCCTCTTCTCCATCAAAGAAAATCATTTGGAGACCAACGTTCTAAGGAAGTAAGTTTGTTGAATATCATTATGGATATATTATGCACCTGCGATACTCGTTTGTACATATATGGAGTCAACGTTTGCGCAATGTCCATCATCATAGCACATGGTACAGCAGAGTCTGTAGCAGCAATCATCACTTGTCTGCAGTAGTTAGGATTTTTCTGGCTTTTCTCTAATACTGTTTTTTACCCATGCAAGATCTTTGAATCGTAGTGACATGCTAACACTAATCGCCTTGGAGCAGCGGTGTCGTAAGTAGCTATAATGTTTCGGAAGTTTTTCACTCCATGAGGGGTATTATCCTGGAAACCAACTATACAACAGATCAAAATTGTTTCACTCATACTTGGAATTCGTCCAACTCGATATTCCATCCCAAATCCTTGTAAAACTTGCTGATATACTTAAAGGTTTGCGTGAAATAGGATATCGATTAGACTGTACCTCTCCAACTTGACGATGTTGGGGTGTGTCCACAACGCGCTCTACGAGCAATGGACTCAATAAGCTTCTAAACCTTTTTCTACTAGTGAAATCTCTGCATAGTCTGACAGTGGAATTCTTTGGAAGAATTGAGAGAGTATGAGAGCGCTGGAACCAATATAGTATAACTGTGGGTTTTGAACTATGTATAGAACCTGATTAACTCTCCATTGCCCCCATGCCGAAGTTGGAATCGCTATGAATATGAGGAGAGCACATAGCTTCATAATAAGAGAGTTCTGAAAGAGAATGAGATAAGGATTTCGTTTTCATATGTTTTTCAGGTGTTCATGTGAATTTCTGAGTTTTAAACTTTCGAATTTCAGTGGAAAACAATCAATATGGCGAAATCGTTGAAAAGACTGTTTGAGCACAATGCTGGTTCTCTTTCGCACATGAACGTTTGAAACAGGCCCATTCATGACGCTATCAATTTAAACCAAATATTTACGGAGGGAGCTTCTATCTATGTTTTTGAAACAACAGAGAGGTTAAATTCAACGAAACGTTTCAACAAAAAATCGTTGAAGTAATGAGAGAGAAGTACTTGTACAGGGGATGAGTAAGTTCTTAGAATGAAAGCTACGAGTTGATGATGGTTTGAGATTGTTTCTTTGAACAGAAGTAAATGAGAACTAGTTTCTAACAGGATATATATGGAATAATAAATGGATTCGACTATGGGGAACGTTCAGGAGAAATCGGAGGTTAATGGAATTGCAAAGAAAATTAATTAAAGTCATTTGTGATACGAATGAAAAGAAAAGGAGAGAAATGAAAGAAATGGTCAAATGGCCATGATCTTACTGGAGCTGAAATTGAAACTGAGAAGAAAGGAAAGAAGAACAAAGATAAAGTAACGTAAGCGACCCTGACTAATGATGGATATGACCAGATCAAAATGCAAAACCATTTTTGTTGGAAAAGCGACAAAGAGTGTGACAGATTCAACACAGTTGTTTTTGAAAAACAGAGAAGATAACCGAGACTCCTCTCTTCCCGTGTACATAGACAGTGAATGAAGGAGCCTTAACATTCAGAGAAAGATAAATAAGAATCTAAGGAGATGAATGACAGCAAGACAGAATATGAAAGGAAGTTACATAAGGAGTAAATACGAAGAGCAGGTCACTTCACAGAAGGAATTGAGTACCCTTGAAAGGAAAAATACGAGTCAACTTCAATTTAATGTGCCTTCCGGCCCATTATATCGATTACCTCATGAATAATATGAAGAAAGATGAGAACAATATGTGTTCAAAACATTATGATGGTTATAAATTTGAAAAAAAAGGATAAAATATACTCTAGAACTTACCATATTTACAGGTGAATGCTATATTTGGGCAGCAGACGATCATACACTGCCACGCCGAGCTGACCTACTGCGAGTAGTCACCAAACATACAATAAAATCCGATCCAATCGAAATGTATTCGTATGAATTGATTGCCAAAACTTGCTAACTGATGCGAGATTATATTTCTGAAAATGGCAAATAAGTTCATCGGCGATGTTTCATCTTGATTGAACAATGAGAACGGCGAAGAACAAGAAAATTTCCAAAAACGTTCCTCTTCTCATGCCCATGGGGGTGATTCGTACTATAAGAAGTAGCGAAAAGAAAACAAACCTAAAGAGGCAACTTGAAGCATCAGTTTTTTCTCGTTTGCTAAAACTTCACACAACAGCAACGATTGTACGGAGAAGTTGTGGGGCGAGTGAACCAAAATTATTATTCGAAAAAAGTTAGAAACATCAGGGAAAAGCATTGGACCACATCCATTCATAGAGTAGCAAGAGAGAAGAGCAGTTTAGAATCTGTTTATTAGAACAACTAGCGAGAGAACAACAACAACAAAGAAAAATGAGGTTAAGAACTGACTATAGGATACTAAGACAATTGATTCATCGAACGATATTCTAAAATAATTCCTATTTAAGCTATTAAAAGAGGTTCTCAACTTGATAGTCACCTGCTTGACATCATGTCTCAAGCGGTCATAACCTTAGATCAAAGGACAACCCATAGAATATGTAATTGGACAAAGTAATCATCGTAAAAAATGACTCATCATCGTAGATGTTGACAACAAATGTTTAAGCTTATTAAAGGTATGCGAGGGAGGGTGTTCACCTTCTTCGGAATCCGAATAGTCCACCTGAGTACTTCTTGAGGAGAGAAGACTCTTCTGGTTGCGCTTTCTTTTGCTCTTCCTGAACGGCCGTATGATTATAGGATAAGTTTTTTTGAGTTTACCTGTTCGGCAAGATAAATGGCACGGCGACGGAACTCCTTAGCTGGATCATCAAACTGTGAGTAGTATTGGATGGTTGGACGGACATCATCAACGTCCGATAAGTATATGGCTAGAGATTCATATCCGTTATCATCATTGTAACTGCAGACTTACTCTTCAATAACTCAGCCAGATCGACGAGAGAAGTATCGTCCATATTTCCTTTCCATTCGGGAACACGGAGCATGTTGTCAACGTTCAACTGCCCTGACTTAGCATCGAATTCCAAAAAGATAACTTTGGAAAGATCACGATTCAATTTGGATAGATCCTGAATGGTCGACAGAACTGTTGTGGGATGAGATGAGTGAGTGACTTGCCTTCATATGATGTCCATTAGCATACTTCGTACAATCCCTATAAAGTCTGAACATGATTCGTTGTTTAGGATCTATGCTATCTATCACAGGAACGGCAGTCATAGCTGATTCACTCGTATAAATGACAACCTGAGAACTTGCTATTATCTCTGTCACTCTATACTATACAAACCTCGTAGTTGGGATAGCCAACGACGTCAAGGAAATAATCTAAAGCTGGTCTTTTGGCGAATCTGAAGAAGTTTTTGAAATTATGCATGATCAACAGAAGGATCAGACCTGTATCCTGTCTTATAAGTCCATTCTGGGGCTACCAGAATGTTTTTCATTTCGATAACTAAAGTGTATTTTGGTTGGAGATAAGGAGGAGCAAGTGGGTCGGGAAGCAACTTCTCTCTAGCTGGTTCAACAACAAACTTAAACACATTCAATTAGAATCTTCTGTTGTACACTGAACTCACATCTCTCCATTGCCACACGCTATCATAAATTCTATAGAAAGGAGCAAGCAACTGTCCTGAGTATTCATCAGAAATTAGATTTCCTTCCTCATCACGTTTTGCTCTGCCTTAAAAAAGATTTGTATAAATGGGAAGTGAAAGGTGTCTAATGAACCATAATAGAAGCAGAAGGTAATGAATCCTATGACCGAACCACCAAGGAAAACTGCTCCAGTGATCTTTGTATTTCTTTCCATTCGCTTCCTTCTTTTCTCAGCCTCTGCTTGATGATCGAAATCCTAGAATTCGCTCGGTTCAGGGGGAGCAGGCAAATTTCCTACCTCTTGGGAGCCACTTCCACCATCACCCGAACTTCCGGACTTCTTAGATTCCTCAGAAAGTTGCTCTAGTTTTTCCAAGGAAGCTTTCAATGCATCAATATCGTTCTGTTCTTTTTCTTTCGGCACTTCAGCTTTTATCGGAGTCGGAAAACTACAACTGTAGCGACAAGTAAGGAGATTCACATACCACGAGAGGTTCCTGTATCTTTGTTCCCAAAGGTGTTATAAGTTCATCTTTTGGTATCTCAATTTTAGCATGTGATGTAACAGTAGAAGATAGTTCTCTTTCCAAAAGTGGCTGTAAAAATTATTATTCATATAGCCCAGTAATCAATGTATTACCTTTCTTGTTTTTCTTGGGTCTGCGAATGGACTGACTACTTTGCTATCAGACAAAATACTTTTGAAGCCTTTCCCATCACAAAGACTCCGTATAGTTCTATAACCAGCAAGTGTCCCTCTCAATCTAACAAGCATCTCGGCTACTACCTGGAACACAAAGGTCTCATTCACGATTTATAAAGAGTATTGCGTAATAACGTGGTCAATCTTAAAGAAGTTCGTCAGCAAGCTCAAATACATCTTCCTAGCACTAGCTTGTGAGAATAACAAAGAGCAATTTCCGGATAACAGCGTGGCTATTCATATTAACATAAAAGGAAAACATTTACATACGTAAGCTTAGAAGATTGTGCTTGACGTTTTTACGCAAACTCCGGTCGCATTTTGAAGTGCCGTTAAGCTCACAATGGCGTACCTATTTTTCGTCTCACGAGACAAGTTTGTTTGTTAGCCATATTAAAGCTTTTGATTATTTTTACAACTATGCACACTTCGAAATAAGATACTAACACTAATTATATGTGCATTGGATTTCAGAATGCCTTCACGGGTAGGATCTCCGCCTGACTCGGTGTTCGGCTTTGAACAAATCGCCAAGAAGTACTTCTTGTCTTGTACTGCCGCGTTAGTTGCCGAAACAGTCACATACCCTCTAGATATTACGAAAACACGATTACAAATTGCAAAAAATAAACATACTAAAGGAGGTGAACTCTCATGTTGTCTAATCGTTTTCTAATCCATGTATAGGGATGGTTCAAGTCACATATGACATCATAAAGAAAGAGGGAGCCATGAGCTTATGGACGGGAGTAGGACCGGCTATCACTAGACACTATATTTACACAGGCATACGAATGGGAGCATATGAATTACTTAGAGATTCGGTGTACGATAGATCTGTGCGTTTTTTTGGGTTTTCATGTTACATCCTCATCTTAGACAGGAGCTTCGTTCCCGATGTGGAAGTCCATGGTCTGCGGAGCTTTATCAGGGCTCATCGCTCAGTTCGCAGCTAGTCCAACAGATCTTATTAAAGTATGACAGTGTTTGTAATTAAAACTTTCAACGAAATACAGGTTCAAATGCAAATGGAAGGGTTACGTAAACTACAGCATCAACCTCTCCGATATACAGGAGCTTGGCATTGTTTTACAAGCTTATATAGGACACAAGGCTTTTTTGGTTTGTGGTTAGGATGGATTCCGAACTGCCAACGAGCAGCTCTACTCAATATGGCTGATATAGCTACTTACGACTTTGCCAAACATTATTTTGTTGATCAACTAGCCATGAAGGTAGCTTGTGCAGCTTTTCACCTCCATAGCTATGTTCTTATTGTAGGATAACTGGGTAACTCATGCACTAGCTTCATCATGTGCAGGATTAGCTGCTGCTATTGTTTCTTTACCTTCCGATGTTGTGAAAACAAGACTGATGGATCAAATTAGACATGAACTTGATGCGAAGATGTGAGTTGCTACTGACTGGTTCTGGAAACCTTCATTTTTCCTGTTTAGGGACCACAAGAAGAACACACATGTCCATCTTTACAATGGCTGTATCGATTGCTTTGTCAAAATCATTAAGCACGAAGGATTCTTCTCTCTATACAAAGGCTTTATACCTTCTTATATTAGAATGGCTCCTTGGTCTCTAACCTTCTGGGTCTCGTATGAAAAGATAAGAACTCTAGTAGGCGCTCCAAGTTTTTAGGTGAACATTTGAACTCTTCTCATAGTTTTTTTAGATGTAGTTTTGATGAGAGTTGAGTAGGTTCAGATTATAACTCAGAGGGAACATCTCTTTAAACTGTTAAGTGCCATACGCTCCCCTTTAGTGATGATATAGATTGTTAGGTCTTCCACTCAGGATCAGAATTAGACTTATTTTTCATTTCACGGGTTTTTAGCTGCTCCAAACTCATTTTAATTAATTTGCATATGATCACTAGTCTGTCAAAGAACGTTTGCTCAGTTATAAGAAATTTCTAATAAAGTTTTAATAATTTGTTTTCAAGTATCTTCAGTTTTCTGCATAATGGTCTCCTCCACTCATACTTTCTCATTGTCACTGCCATCTTTGGGTAGCCTCAGTCCTTTCAGATGTTGATTCCTAAAAGTTTTCCATATAAACACCAAGTACGACTCTCTTCATACTATGATGCTGTTATTGTGGGGGGTGGTATGGTAGGAAATGCCCTAGCGTGTGCTCTAGGTAACCTCTGTTTGCATAATTAATTCGTCTTTTTGTTTCTCAGGATCCTCTCCCAGTTTAGCTAAACGCAAAGTCCTAGTGTTGGAGGGTGGACAGCCAAAGGGCTTGGCTCGAAAAGCACCAAGTACATATAGTAATAGAGTTTCAGCAGTTAGTCCAGCATCTATTGACTTGTTTAAAAGTTGGTGTTGCTTCCTCCTTTTTCATATTTATTATTGTCGCCAGGTTTTGATATTTGGAAACAGTTAGAGAATTATGGTGTAAAAAAAGTATCTCGTCTTCATGTACTAGATAGTTGCTCCACAGCCGAAGTCTCGTTTGACCAGCCTGAGAGAAACAAAGGTTGTTCATGCTTTGAAGTTTGCTCACGAGCTTTTTGAAGAGATTGCTTACATAATTGAAAATGACGCTATAGTTGGTGCTCTCTTCGAGAAATTGCAAACTCTAAGTTCTGTGGAAGTTAGAACAGGTGCATCGGTTAAGAACTGCAGGTTGAGAAACTTGATTAATAATCCATTGAACTGTACATTCAGATTACCTAACGAGAAGGACAGTCATGAGCTAGCAACAGTTGAGTTAGCAGATGGAAAAACAATTGAAACATCTCTGATAGTTTGTTTGTGTTGAAGATTTATAAAGACGTGTGAGTTCAGATTGGTGCTGATGGTTTCAAGTCGAGAGTTCGGGAAGCTATGAATGTAGAATATTCGGGTTGGAGCTATGAACAAGCCGGTTTAGTGGCTACTCTGAATTTAGAGGTTTGACAAATCTAACGATTTTGGTCAAGTAGTATACTTAGGGTGCCGGAAACGACATTGCTTGGCAGAGGTTTTCCAAACTGGGACCGATCGCTTTGCTCCCTCTTTCAGACACAGTTTCATCCTTAGTGTGGACAACAACACCCGAAGAGGCCAAACGTCTTATAGCTCTTTCACCTGATAGTTTTATCGATGAGCTCAATCATGCATTGGTATGTCATAGGGTTTCCAAGCGTAGAACAAGCTGTTTTTCAGTTCACAGAAGAAGATCAGAATGCCGTAGTCAACCAAACACTTTTCTTACTTTCAAGAGCTTGCCCCTCTTCTTGGGAGAATAGTAGAGGAGTGCCCCCTCAAATAATTTCCCTACAAAGTGATACAAGAGCGGCTTTCCCTCTAGGCTTCGGTCACGCCAAAAGGTATTCCTCTGTTTGAAACATGTATCACAATTTCACATATAGTTATGTTACAACAAGAGCCGCTCTGGTTGGTGACGCAGCTCATAGAGTTCATCCTCTAGCTGGACAAGGCGTCAACTTGGGGTGGAGTGATGTAACTATTCTAGCCAAAATTTTGGAACGAGCGCATAATGAAGGAGCAGATTGGGGTAGATTATACTATTCTTCTTATTTCATTTTCTATTTCTAGGCTTGTTGAACTATCTCTCTGAATATGATACGATTGCCCAACGCCATAATGTACCTGTAATGGTCTCTATTGATTGGTTGAACAGGCTATACAGGTTTTAATCAGTAGATTGAGAAGAAAATTAAGAATTTTTCAGAACCGATAGTACACCGCTAGTAATGCTGAGATCCCTAGGATTGGCAGGTTTCAATAAGCTAACCCCATTGAAGGTATGTTTCAGTTATCGCAGATGTTTGGAACTTTTGTTTTCAGGATTTGCTTGTCAAGCAACTTTCAACGCAAAGAGTATGAATTTTTATTTTAATAAATGTCTGATAGATTACCCGTTTACATGTTCTACAGCCTACACAAGAGAAAATTAAATTAACTTTCGAGTATGTTCACGCGAGTGCACGCAATTGTACCGTGCACTCGTTGCAAGATGGTCAAAGTTGGAGCCCTTATATCTCGAGATACAGGCTATGTAACGAAAAGATACTTAGATATTCGGGACCAGCGACAATCAATTAGTATAAAGAAATCAAAAAAAGAACAAAACAGAGAAATTTCAACTTCGACCCAAGTTTCCTCACTCGACGATCGCCAACTAAACTTTTGAGGATGTTCACGCGAGTGCACGCAGTTGTACCGTGCACTCGCTGCAAGATGAAGACAAGAAGAAAAGTTAAAGCCCATATACCTATACTGATAACTGGTGCACTGCTCTAGAGCTACTCATTCGGCTTGCGCAAGTGTGGGGTTTCGTTGTCAATACTTATTTTTGATTGCTAGAAGCTTCTACAGAATATAGAACAATTCATTTATTTGTAAAAATAACATGGCAAGTAGGTGTTTTAATCAAATGAATGACTCAAGTAAAAATTTGTTGACTATATATGTATATATACTCATTCACGTTTCTTAAAAAACAACAGCAACTGAATAACCCAACTCATCAGCTACTTATTCATCCTATAATAAACAGATTACTATTTTGATAACCGGCGGTATAAGTCACCTTAATTACAAGTTCAACAAGAGAGCAAAGATAGTTTCACACATTGTTAAATAGCTATGTCACACTAGTGAGCAGCGCTTGCGTTTTAGATTCCAGAACATAGCTTCTATCTGAAATAAAGATGATAAGAATTACACACCAAAAAATTAACGCACTGAATCATCTTATGCCGAACGGCTCAGTCATAAAATTCTCGTGACAATTAGTGCCTAATGATGACCAGCCCTTCTCATGTAGCACATGAACAGGGTCTACGACTTTCTCTTTATTCATCATGTCATGTCACTGAGATCATTCCTGTACATGTGACATATGATTGATTAACATGAGATTTCACATCATCCTGCAGTCCTCTTTCCACACTGAGCCTATCAGAGACTTGAAGTAGAGATTACTCAAAATGCAAATACCTTCCGCTTCCAACGGCTCATCCTAAATTCTTCAAAATCCAAGTGTATCCGTATTGTTTACTCCCACTCCATCCATTCTTTCGTTTTGCAGAAGCACGATTCGCATGAAAGATTGATAGTTACAGCACTCCTTACATAGTCGGTCCATAATCACGACGCCACGGCAATGTCCAATAATGATTTTACATGTTATAATCCTAGTCTCATCGAGTTGACCATGAAATACATAGATGGTTAACGCACAACTCCTTACAGCTTTAATCCATTGGTCAGAACGATAGATCCCAAGCCAAAAATCCGTGATACGTGACGTTTTCCAGTACATAAAAAACTCAGCATACTAGCTCTTACTCAGGTACAAATTCAGCAGTTTTCACATCATATCCTTTACGCGTCATTGGTAATAGACCCTCACAAATTCCCTTTTATTCCATCCCGTATTGTACTATTTATCCGGTCGTACATGAAGAAGAGAAGAAATTATGAATGAGAGCTTACTTTCGGTAAACGCGATCCACGCAGAAGTACGTTTGGACATCCGTTGGGTATTAACTGATAATAATGTGCATTTAGTGTCTTACTTTCTCTATTATAGCGCGATCCATTCATCCTCTTATTTTGTGATACTTTCTTCATCGTTTATTTGAAGCTCAGTTCCCTCCAAAAAAAATACAATTTTCTGCCGTGTTCACCTTTCTCTATGATAGTGTTTAGTTGTTCAGATACCAGCCCGTTCTCTCGGGTTCATGTAGATACATAATCTTTTTGTCTTTTAATCTAATGCCAATCATCTTGTATGATATCTTCCGTATGCATCGGTACATAAACAATGTAGATTAGCGAGTTGAAGCTTACTGTTGAGGAAATCGGCATTCACACAGACTATCACTGTAGATCTATTCCTCCGCGCGTGAGATACATGAAGAAATAAGTAGAGTATTTTTAACCTTACACATTCAAGGCCTCCTATCGAACTCCATTAGGTATAGTACACCGAGATATATAAACGAGAACATTATGTATTATCTTACAATATTCAATGAGTGGTATTGATCTGCTCCAATTGGACGATTGTTGACAATGTAGCTTCTTCGCACATCAATTTCCTTAGTTATACGACGAACAAGTGTGATGCATAAACGAAGAATTTACAGATCCGGCTTACTCTTTTTTATTTTTAATCACGAACAGGCCCTCGCAGTATCAACACTGATCTCCACAGCAACTTGAAGAGAAAGATTATATTCAGGGCTTACATACTCTGGTTATTAACAAGTCCCCTAGTTGAAGCTTCCTTTCGACAACATGTTGGTTGTTTAGCGTTCGCATCATAAACAATAAAAGGTTACGTAGTATAAGCTTACTAGCTAAGCACGGAATCCCTTCGATGATATTCGAGAGCTGCCGATACGTCAAATGTATTTCAACTGAATATCCGATCACAGGGTAATGTTGCTCCGTCCGCTAGTTAAAATGGTTGACTTGCTGCTTATTGAGAACTTTTTCATAATTAGCCCATTTAGTTTACAAGACATCTTAACATATGCAATTAAGAATTGTTTGAAACCTGGCAAGCAATAGACTGCATCGAAGTCTTAGTATTGAAACCAAGAGTCTAAATGCGAGCACTGCATATAACCGTAAGCTGTTACATTGAACGCCTAAGAACGTAAATTAGATATCAAGTTTCTTATCTGTATTCCGAACGTTGCAGTTGGAGGAATCACTCCTGGAATCTGAACGAAAATTAGCAAAAAAAATCACTTTTATTTAATTATTCAACAAGTATGTACAAGGCCATCTAGTGCTACCCGCAGAACATTATGTAACAACTTTGCACCGACAGTAATAAATTAGAAGTCCTCCTAACGAACGAGATCAACATTCAACAGCTACGCCATAACATCCTAAAAATAAACAAACATTATATAACTAATGAGAAATTAGAAACTAACCCATAGACACTTCTCTTCTTTCGTTCTGTTCAGGCTTTTTCTCAAGCAAATCAGAAAAGAAGCGGTCCAAACCAAATGGATCATTGTCGGAGCTCAGCAGCTTACGTTTGATTGGAGGTTCAGGAGTCTGAAGGACTGGTTCAACAAGAGTTTCAGGAACCTTTTGTGATTCAGTACAACCCGAATTTTCGTTATCAAAAACAAGTTTGGAGGAACTACAACCGCGTTTTTTACGGCGAGCCCTACGTTCGCCCAAATGCTTACAGAGTGATTGAATAAATCCAGTTTGCAGCAGTTCTTGATGATAGTTCCTATCCTTTCTGCCGAAGAGAGCACGGCGTTTTTTGATAGCAATAGAAAGTAGTTGGGTAGGAGATGCCTCAGGATGAGACTCGTCTTCACTTTGAGATGAATATGAGGAAGAATTAGAATAATACTGCATTTCGAAAATAGTGACGAATAATCAATAGAATAGAAACGCTCAACAGCACTAAACGTGACTGACTGACGCTACGCGTCGGCGAAGGGTTTATATACTGAGCCGCTCGCGCGCCTACGCCGCGCGAGCGTTTAAGAGCGCGCACACAGCAATTCAGGCTTATAGCTCACGTGACCTGTTATAGTTTGGTTGCCAATAGGGTTGTTCAGATTAAGGGAGAGTATCTTGAAACATGTGAAAAGAATGAATATGTTCACTTATTCGGTGATCTTCATTCGTCAAGTCACATGGCGAAATAGGAGGTACCTAGTCATATGATGTTTCAAGTAAATATTTTCTGACTACGCCCGATATCGTCATGAGCTTTTCGAGAATGCTGGTGATCTCTTAAAATATTCTGAAAACAACAAAAGCAAATGAAACCTATTGATACTGATCATTTTTAATATTAGGAGTTATGATTCTTTGCACAACAACTTTGAACTTCATCAGCTATAGACATCAAGTTTAATAGACAACCCCTCATCCCATGTGACTACGAAAACCGTCCGTACATGTGCTCTGCTATTTGGAACTTTTCCAAGTTTTCTTCAATCATCATTGAACAAATTGATCATGTGATGTTGTCTGCGATACATGTGTAAATGGAATCAATCTGCCGCTCAATTGAATGCAAAAACGTTCGAAAACAATTTCGAATTCATATCCACGCTTCAATTAGATTGTTATTACCGATGAAAGTACACCAATGAATATTGAAAGTTGTCGACTAATTGCAACCGCTCGTAAGGGACTTTACGAGCATGATTAATACGCGGCGAAGTTTATCATAGATTTACAAAAATGTTTCCTCAACGTGATGGTCAAGCTATCGTTTATTCCGGATGCAGCCGACATCTTTGGACTGCTGAAAGAAGACATTGGGTTACAAGAATGGAATATGAGGAGAGGAATTTCACAAACCAACCACATTTCTGAAAGGAATCTACTTCAAATGTTTTTGTTTCATATATTCCATGAGTAAGAAACAAACTATCACCATTCGAAGTTTATTTCGTTGTTTAAGATAAGGTTATCATCAGGTCAGATTTTCAGCCGCCTTCCATGATATCAGCTGGTTCTCATAGTACGAACTTTGGCTTCATGCCCTGTAAGGCCTGAATCGTATTCTGCGTGAAAATGAGGTTTTTTTTGCTTCCCATACAATGAACAACCGTTTAGAAAGTAGAAAATCCAAAAAGGTTCGAGAGATCACTCATATGGAGCTCGGAATGAAGCCGAACGACTTTTTTTGTACTGGCCAAAAACTAGG